AAATAGATCTCTGAATGGTATAGTCCATAGCGGGGGGCATAGCGGCCCCTCCCCTATTCGGCCGCCCTAAATAGATCTCTGAATGGTATAGTCCATAGCGGGGGGCATAGCGGCCCCTCCCCTATTCGGCCGCCCTAAATAGATCTCTGAATGGTATAGTCCATAGCGGGGGGCATAGCGGCCCCTCCCCTATTCGGCCGCCCTAAATAGATCTCTGAATGGTATAGTCCATAGCGGGGGGCATAGCGGCCCCTCCCCTATTCGGCCGCCCTAAATAGATCTCTGAATGGTATAGTCCATAGCGGGGGGCATAGCGGCCCCTCCCCTATTCGGCCGCCCTAAATAGATCTCTGAATGGTATAGTCCATAGCGGGGGGCATAGCGGCCCCTCCCCTATTCGGCCGCCCTAAATAGATCTCTGAATGGTATAGTCCATAGCGGGGGGCATAGCGGCCCCTCCCCTATTCGGCCGCCCTAAATAGATCTCTCAATGGTATAGTCCGTAGCGAGGGGCATAGCGGCCCCTCCCCTATTCGGCCGCCCTAAATAGATCTCTGAATGGTATAGTCCGTAGCGGGGGCCATAGCGGCCCCTCCCCTATTCGGCCGCCCTAAATAGATCTCTGAATGGTATAGTCCGTAGCGGGGGCCATAGCGGCCCCTCCCCTATTCGGCCGCCCTAAATAGATCTCTCAATGGTATAGTCCATAGCGGGGGGCATAGCGGCCCCTCCTATCCGGAAGTGAACCCACTATTGATAATGGTTTGCCAAAACAACAAAGGATCGCCAGGTGGCCGCCGCCAATATCATTCGTAAAATGAGACGTTGTGCCAGTAATTGAGTCAATCAATAATCAGACCTCGAACTGCTGAACCCAATTACCAGTAAGTGGTAACCGGAATTATACACGTAGTCTGACATGGTAGACTAAACGAGTCACAATTGCAACAACGTTCATTATCAACAGCCTTAACCAGTCAAACAAATAAACAGGGCCCGCGCAGAGAGACGGGCGGAACGATGGTACGTAGTATATTAGCTATACTACAGTGCGAAGGTTAAGGAGTTCCACCATCAGCCACGATGCCGCTGGAAGACTCTCTCTTGGAGCTATAGTGTTATTCGCTCTGGTTTGCCGAAAAGTCGATGGAAAAACGCCTTAGCGTGGATTCGAACCCGGGACCATCGATGACGAAGAGGAATTTCGTGGCGCGCGAGAATTTCCCGAAGACGACGACGCCGGCACAGCACGCCAGCGTCACACAGTCTAACCCCTATCAAAGCTTGTATAACAATCACGCTTGGACTAGTGTAGAGGATTCCATTCAATGCTTTCCATTTGCCTTGTCAATATCTTGTAGTTTGAAAGCTCCCATCACTCCGCATGCTCTTTCAAAACAACTTGTCAACGACTTGCACGTGAACTAAAACGTTCATAAAATCTAAAGCGTGCTTGTAGTTATTTTCTTCAGGACCGATGAAGACTGAATTATGCATCACTGGAATTTTCTCTTGTTGATTTCATTGAGATTAGTCCTTGTTTATTACCCTTGTAAATCGTGTCTAATAAGCCCACCATCGATCTACCTGAAGGAGTCGCCGCCACTTCAACAGAAGATGACAGTTGCTCGTTGTCGGCGTCCCCAACGTCGTCAATGGAGATAGCAGACACGCCTGAGAGTTATAAAGGGAGTGGTAGTAGTAAAGGGAGGGATGTATGTATTTGTAGTTTATATAATTGTGTCGGCGAACTAGATGCGGCATTGGAGTTCATATTTGGACCTGCTTTGTGTCTTACCACGGAGGAGTTAAGATATTCGTTTGTATATATTTGGACCTGTTTCGTATCTTACCACGGAGGAGTTAAGATATTCGCTTGTACATATTTAGACCTGTTTTGTATCTTACCACGGAGGAGTTTAGATATTCGTTTGTATATATTTGGACCTGTTTTGTATCTTACCATGGAGGAGTTAAGATATTCGCTTGTACATATTTAGACCTGTTTTGTATCTTAGCACGGAGGAGTTTAGATATTCGTTTGTATATATTTGGACCAGTTTCGTATCTTACCACGGAGGAGTTAAGATATTCGCTTGTACATATTTAGACCTGTTTTGTATCTTAGCACGGAGGAGTTTAGATATTCGTTTGTACATATTTGGACCTGTTTTGTATCTTCCCAAGGGGACCTTGAGATCTTCAGGTGTAACTAGAGGAGTACCGCCACAATCTCGTCCGCCACTTCCTCGTACGATGCATAACGCGTCACCACCCTCAATACGGCACAGACGCACGACGTCCAGCGGAGTTCTCAGGAGAGTATCTTATAAAAAGGGAGGGAACGATGATGAGAATGAACAGGAAATTTCAAAGGTCTATGATATACCACTATCGAATAAGGGTGATAATCGAACGGGGTAAAATTGCGACGAAAATAATCTTGCGTTGAAGATTTTCGGATTTTTTGCTGAGAAAAAACAAGTGTTCTCGTAAAGTGTGTCAAATTGTCGTAGATTTCTGGGTAAATGATGAATATGTGGTTGATTAAAATTTGCTGAGAAGTTTATTTTTTTGAAGGGTTGCTGAAATGAAGGATGGTGATTTTCATCGCATGTTATGGAGTTTACAGTATTGAGCAAAATTGGATCGTTTGAACGCACGTGGAAGATTATTTTTATCATTTATGTTATCGCGAGTAATGGTATGGAGTAAGCATCAGTGATGATCTTTGGTGTCTATCATTTGTGTTGATCTATATTGACGATTTGAATTTCGTGGCGCGCGGTCATTGGGGAAAAATGTAAAGTTTTCGTTGAGCGTAGGTGCATCTGAAGCAGTTGATCGATTTGGGATACCTTTCGCTGAGCATCATCTCAAGGGTCAAGGAAATGTTGGACATTTGGGATTTCAGACCGGTAGTAGTAGTTTTTTGAGAAAATTTTTCACTTCGATTGTGGAAAAAATTGGAAAATTTTCGCCCTCAGAATGCAATTTTACCTGATGATTTGAAAATGAGGGTGAAGAAGTGGTTTCCGCGGTTTTCATGGTTATTTGCGATGCGAAATGTAAATTATATCTTCGCCGGCATTTTTTATGTGGCGAGTGAAACTCGGTTGCCTTGTGAAGGAAGCGGAAGGTTTTGAATTTGTTTTTAAAGGAAGTTTTTGGGTGAATTTTGGGCTTTTTGGTGGAGTTAGTTGTTGGCAGAAAATTTGGAAATTTCGTGGAAAATTTTCCGGAATTTTTCCCATTCGTTTTTGCAGGAGTGCCACCGATAGTCGTCCAAAGGAGCAACCGCGCGCGCCCGCCATTACATCCGACCACGTCACGGAAGAGCAGTACTGGGGTATCGGCTAATAATCAGAAAAGGTAGCGTTTTTCGGGGGAAAATTTCGGGAATATTTTTACGAAATTGTGAGGAAAATTTCAGTACCTATTGATAGGTTTATGGTTCGAATATCAGCTGAGGTGGTAGGTTAGTATTGTCAAGGTGTTACTGTAGGCGGATGGCTGAAATTTTGGTAATTTTTCAGAAAAAAAACGGAAATTTTGTACTTTTTGTGGAAAAAAATTTCAATATTCTGCTTTTTTTCTGCTCAGGACTGTTGTGACGTTGACTGATCCCCTTCATGATTTGCGGCAAATTCCGGGTGGAGACGAACAGACGCGAAAAGTGTATGTCGCGAAAGCTGATGAGGTGAATAAATGCACCGAGCGGGGATCGAACCAGGGACCTTTGGGTTAGGAGCGTGATAATCGAGTTGAGGAAGAAAAGAAGGCTGTAGACTCTTTGGACCCCCCGCTGAAGGCCTGGCCGATCACATCGTTTCTGGTTTTCCGTATTCCTGGTGCTGCAATTTACCTCATAATATGTGCAGCTCTAGCGGCTACTATTTACACGTGGTCGTTGGCATGGATTAAATCGGAAGGTGAGCGGAGCGAAGCGTTGATTGTTTGTGTTTTTTGTATTTACGTAGGGGTGAAGGTGGAAATTGTGAAAGTTCTTGAGGCGATAATCGGGAATTTATTGAATTTTCTGGTTTTAGAGGGAAAATTTAGTATTTTTTTTTCTGGAAAATATTGAAATTTTTTGAAAATTTTCTTCCGTTTGTTTCACATTTACTGTTTTTGCATCCGTCCAGATACATTCCCGCTTTTCCAGTGCCCGAGTTCATCTGTGGTTGAACATGATGTTAACGTCGATGGTACATATTGCCAATTGACCTTCTCATTTGATAACATCACTAATTACAGAGCAGCTGCTGTGGGCTTTCAAAGTGAGGAATCTTTCTCAGAGCAGCGCGCACAGCGAAGATTTTTTTTATTTGTTTGTTTTTGAAATTTAGAGGATAATGGAGTTGGCTCGACGTGTTGGATACCATCACGGTATCAATATGAAGATTGTGGACCGGGACATCTTTGCTATGTGAGTATCTTTGCGCACAGCGAAGAAAATATGCGCATGGTCAATTACATGTGTTGGTGGTGATATGAAAATTGTGAGGAATTTTTCGGAAAATTTTATCCGAATTCATATATATAAACTCCTACAATTAGATTTGGAAAGTGAACATATATCCCTCCAACACTGCACAAGATTTTATTTTTGAACTTTGTATGTTGTCTTAGGTGCGATGCAACGCGCCTGTGTCGTGTACGTTGGCTTTGAATGGGCCGTCGGGTCAGCCGTCACCAAAACCGTTTGGTGGCAATTCTTCATGCGCTAAAACGGTGAAGTGGGGAGCGGATGAGAACTATTATATCGTGAGGGGGAGGTCGTGGGTTCGATCCCTGGTGAGGGGATTTTTATTAGGACCGTGGATGTACGCAGACTATTTACCTGCAACAAGATCAGGCTACCACGGTGCCTCAAACGGCTATCGCAGTTCAACCGTAAGCGGGGAAAAATGGAAGAAAATTTCATTTTTTTGGAAATTTTTGGTGAAAATTTCATTTTCCTGTGATTTTTTCCTGCAAAAAAAATAGATTTTTTTCATCCGCTGTAATTTGTTATGATATGTATTCATATTTCATTGAACGATGAAATCGTCACGCGCCACGAAATTGCTCGCCCTCATAGGTACTGCGATCTTGGCAGTACCGTCTCGCCCGCAGACATCATCGGCATCAGAGGAATTTTCTTGGGCGCTCTTGTATTTCTACTTATCTATATTGGTAGTAATGAATTTAGCGCTCGCCCAGATGATCGATTTGCTTTTTAACTGTTCAGTGGCAGTATTGACGATTCGTACAGCGTATAAAAGGGTTATGGAAACTCATGCTGCGGAATTGTCAATATTGGAACCTCACATGAACGATGTTCGAGAGGATATGCATTCTGTGGTGAGTTTGGGTGAAAACACAGTGTTGGAATATATGTTGGGTTCAACTGGGGAAAAATATGCGCAGTGGATTTCTACCTGTTTTATGTGAAGTGGCTTAATACTCCGTGAGAAACGCGATCTTGGCGGAAAAAATATTTCCCACTAGTGTTTTTCATATCACGGTCGTGAAAATCTATTGTCAACTACATGTGTTGGTGATAATATGAAAATTCTGAGGGAATTTTGGGGATTTTTCGGTGGTTTCTGTTTATTTTTACCAGAATTTATATAAAAATCTTCATAAGTAGCTTTGGAAACTCCTGAGCTGAGGAAGCGAACATATATTCCTCCAGCATTAGTTCGTTGTAATTTGAATTAGACGCGCATTAAAGGAAACTTATGAGAATTTCCATAGTGGAGTTTCACTAAACCCGTTTTTTGAAGTGGCGTAATAATCGGTGAAAAACGCGATATTCGCGGTGATATGCAGTAGTTGTGGAATATATTTTTCACTACTTGTGAAACTCCATATTTTTCGAACAGAAGTGGAGTGTTATTCTATTTGGTAGGTCGAGAGGAGATGGTGTGGCTTGCCGGTGTCGGCTGGGCAACCGCATGATTCTTTGGATCATAATGGACCGAAGTTCGAGACGGGGAGTCTATTAGAATTGGTAGTTTAATGGTTAAGGCGGTGGTTTGCGTATCGGATGGGCGGAGGTTCGATTTTAGCATGTGTCATTTTTAGAATACTGCAGCTAAGCCAGGAAAGCCTCCGATGACGTCAGCCGACCACAAGAGAAGGTAATCGAAAGGTCGTGGGTTCGATTCTTGGGGAAGGAGGAATTAACTGTTTTTAGGTTCGCATCTGGAAGTTGGCGATATCGACTTAGGTTGATGGCTGGTTTGAGAGCACGAAAGAAAGCTATGGTGAGGGGAGATGGAATTTCGTGGCGCGCGAAAAAATTAACATCGAATATTCCTAGGTTTTTTTATATAGTGGGTCTATCGATTTGTGTGTGTGTGTGAGTTTAATGTCCAACGATTTGTGAAATTACATCGGAGAAAATATCCCAGTTTTTTAGAACGGTTTAATAGGATTTTTTATCCCACTTTTGTTGCAGGTCGCATCGCGTGTTCGTAACAACACGGCAATAATGGGGATCAGCTATCTCCTGCTGATCGTGTGCATCATGTGTTTGGTGCTTCTGGATCAACCATTGAATTATGTCCAGTAGGTTAAGCGCTTGGTTTGGTATTGGATAGGTCGTGGGTTCGGTTCGGGGAGAGAATATTTTCGATTTTTTTCAGATTTTCCCCACGAGCTTTTCTGGATCCGATCGTCTACCCAGACACGCGTAATTCTAGGCAGGGCTTATATGTTTGGCTCGACGTCCTGGCCTTCAGCGACTATGTCATAGAGTTTATCGTAGGTTTGGCTCATGTGCTAGGGTGGTGAATTTTTGGGTATTTTTTGAATAGGTTTTGAGTCTGGGAATAGCATCATCATTGTTCAAGAAAGGGAAGGAAAAACAGTCTACTGCAAAAAGTAATTTTTTGGAGTTTTTTTTCGGGAAATTTTACTATTTTTTTTCACTGCAGGTCCTCGTGAAAGTTCTCACGAGCTCAATACCGCATCTACTGGAGTAACGCTTTCAACGAGAGATGTTGAGGTGAATTTCGTGGCACGTGACGCTGTTCCTTCTCATAATTTCGTGGCGCGTGACGTTTCTTCCCTTCAGCTTGGAATCGAGCCATGTCCCATTAATGAGGAGGAAGGAGTTGAGGCTCGAAGTGACCCTGTATTCCCTGATAGTGTGTGTGCTATAGTTCTGGTGAGATCTTAGCGGAGCGAAGCGATTTTTTTCCTGTCAATTTTTTCTTTTCAGTTGCCGGGAAATGGCGCTTGTACGTGGGATGTGGACGGCAGGAGAAATCTGGTCCGGTGCTTATCGCGTCTTCTGGAAATCGGCTTACCCGCGCGGCAAATATTTGTGGTGGATTGTGGGTCTGCGTTGACTCCTGTGGATGATACGTGGAGAGTGGTAAGCATGGAAAAAAACGTCACGCGCCACGAAATTATTATGAGGATTTGAGCGAGAATTTCCCACACAGTTTATATATTGTCACCAACATGTGTAGTTGATGATGTGCATATTTTATCGCACACGAATTGGTGTAGTAGTATATTTAAAACTGTCACGCGCCACGAAATTGTTATGACGATTTTTTAGAGTTTTGCTTGAGAATTTTGTCACGCGCCATAGAATTATTATGAAAAAATTTCTCGCTGAAATTCTAGGAGTAGTTTTCTGCACATTTGGCGCGGAAAACTCTCGTTTTTTCGGGGTTATTCGTAAATATTTTCCCGCGCGCCACGAAATTATTCAGATTCACACCGTGGTTTCGCCTGATATAAACTACAGCTACTTACCTGAGAATAATAGAATTCTTGGAGCTTACTGGGCCAATAAAATTTGGATACCATATGCTGGGAAAAAGACGACAATGGGAAGTGGCGGTGGTGGTGAGTTGAAGTAAGGAGGTCCCGGGTTCGATCCTTGGTGGGGGCATTTTTATTTAATTTTTTTTGTCAGGTCTGGTAACTCTGGTGTATTTGAGCCGAAGTCGAATGGCGGTAAGCGAAAAATGCGGGGAATTTTGTTATTGTTTGAGTTTTTTCGGGAGATTTCTCGAATTTAGGCGGATTTTTTCGCTATTTTCAGGTATAAATTCCACATTTCGCTACGCCCTGATGATCGATGATATCGAGACGGTTCTTCCCAGCACTTTCGACTTACATTCATTAAATCTTGAGTAAGAAAATTTGCCGGAAAAAATAGCCGAAATTTTTCCATTTTTCCAGAGAAACGAGACCGGCAGCAGTGCATTTTCCTGTTACCATCGATCCGAGAAATGTAAGAAAAAGGCGGAGCGAAGTTTTATAATTTTCGTAAAATTTTATTTTTTTTCTCAGAGACCGTCACAAGATTTGGCGAAGTTCGCGGATATGCAGTTATTATACCAGTTGACTTTGATACGATTTCAATCGCAATTTTTCGGGGCGGTTTTGTCTACACAGAGAGGAGTCAGTTTATGGCATAGAGGAACATTGGATAAGGTGGGTTGGAAAATTTACGGAAAAATTTCTGAAATGTACGGAAAATTACGGAAAAAGTACGGAAAAATTATGGAAAAATTACGGAAAATTAGAGAAAAGTGAAGAAAAATTTTCCGAAAATTACGGAAAAATTACGGGAAATTTAGAGAAAAGTGAAGAAATATTTTCGGAAAATTTGGGCGAGAATTTACGGCAACTATACAGGATAGCATGTAGTAGTCCTTGAGGAGTTCGTTTATGGTTTTTAAGGCGTGAATTTTTAATCAAGGAAATTTACATCGATTTCGTAATTTTAACTGCGCTACAAAATAACCTAATTTCGTAATTTTCTGATACCGTCACTGCGCCACGAAATTATTTTTGAGTTTTAGGTTTTGTATGAACACGGGACGGAGCCGTTCAGTGTGAGTAACTTATATGCTGGGCTGTTGATGTTACGGCAACGTGATGAGGATACAATTGAATTGGCTGAGGAACTGGCGCCGCAGACTTTTGGAAAATCACCATATGTGGGTTCTGGGAATCGAACCTGTGCGGGAAAGGGATATGCGGGTTTGGATGAATTCAGAGTAGTGGTATATAGGGTAGTATTTACCGGAATTTTATGAATATTTTCGCGAAATTTATAGAATTTTTTTCAAAATTTTCTTGAAATTTTGTTATTTTTACGTAGTTGACCATATATGTAGTTTGATTATATTTTGTCGGTTTCAGGTTGACGTCGGATTTCGGCCGAGGAATCTTCTGGAGTGCGTGGCACAGGAGACAGAGAGTGCAGCGCCAGCAAGATTTATGATGCTGTAAGTCGCCATAATTTGTCGAATGTGCTACGTAGTCGAAAATTTTGCGATATTTTGGAGGAAAATATTGTTACTGTTATGCCATAATATGGCTAATTTTACTTTATTCGAATTCTTTGTGGTATTCGTGGGGAAAATTCTGATGAAATTTTACCACAATTTTTGGAACTCGTTTTGTTCGGGTAGATTTTTTCGTGAAAGTTTTCCATAATTTGTCTAATTTCAGTCTATTCGAATTTTTCTCAGATATCTTCGTGAGCTGCTTTGGGTACCATCCCTCACTCACTTCCGATCGGTTATCATGAAACCGTATCTTTTCTTCATTCCGATTCTGTCGGGTATCTTGGATTTCTTGCGCCCTCTGGTAGGTCCTGGGTTCGATCCCTGGCTGGGGTATTTTTACCGAATATTTTATTGAAATAATTATGGTTTGTAAATTATTCTAGTAGTGAAAATGTATTGTTTTCCAATTTTTTTCTGATTTTTTTTGGTGTTTCAATGCCTATTTTTCATGGAAAGGGAAAAAGTCAGGGGGAATTTTATTTCGAATAGTCTCTAAATTTAAATTGAGCAGAATAGATGGGTGGTAAGGCGCAGGTTCGATCCCCGGTAGCGGCATTTTTCTCCAGATTCTTTGTACATTGGTATTCCGCGATCCATTGGCTCTATTGGTGATGATTATTGTGTTGGTCATTCTGACGTGGCTTTCAGCTGCTTTGATTCTGGCATCAGATAGGAGGGGGTAAGATATCGGGCGAGCGAGATTGGCTTTCGAATTGATGCTGATTTGAAAGATTGTGGCAGTTGAGATTTTTCAGGTTATCGAGGATACGCCGGCCGGGTACATCATATGGCATTCGGGGATTTTTATTGCATCCCGTTTTTCAAATGATTAACTCGTTCACGAGAATTGCGGGGGTAATACTGCGGCTTGTGGGAGTCTGTTGTCGGTGTTTGTTGGGTTACCTCGGCTGAGCTCGAAAGTTGCCTATCGGAGTTTGGGTAGAAGTGTAGAGAAAACAATGAAAATTTTGGTCGTTATTTGTTTAGTGTCACCAATAGTTGAGATCATGTACATATTTTCTCACACTGAAAAATGTGAATTTTTAGATAGTAATTTCCGCAAGAATTGGGGTAGGAGCATAAAAAAATTTATGAAAATTTACGAAAATTGTGCCATTTTTGGTTGAGGAAAAAATTTAAAAATGCATATTCTGGGAAACGAACCAAGGACCTTTTGATTACCCTCAGCATTTCGTACTGTTGTTTGGGTCGAACTGGCAAGAGCGTGCCTTGACTGGTGATGAGAACTCCCTGCGAGTGGGTCTACGAGTTGACGATATTCGTGACATACCGCCGTGCCCACCAAGTACAGAAGTTGACTGGTTTTCGGTAATATTGGGAGAAATGACGGGTGTGGGAATGGAGCCGGGGACCTTTTGGTGATGAAAAATTTGGAGGGCACGTGAAATCATGTGAGGGAAAAAATGATTATTTTGATTTGTTTTTGGAAAATTACCGCGCGCCACGAAATTATTCCGAAGGTTTGATGGATTTTTGCGTTTTTTGCCGATTTTTCCGTCAGGTTTGGAAAGGTGCGGGTCCTCATGGAAATAGCGGGGATCATCACCATGCAGAGCGACAGCTTTCAGAGGAGTAGGGATGGAAAAATCTTCGCTGTGCGCATATCTTTGCGGTTAGTCTATGTTGATAATACTAATATTATTGGTAATATTTGTTGAATTTACTTTATTTGCGATTTCTGTGGGAAAACGCATTTCGGGAGTTGCCGAAGACGATTGGTCGATTGAGAGGAAAAGGTGTTTCGTTGGAGTGAGGAATTCATGGGAGCGGAGCGAAGCGTTTTTTGTTTTGTTTTTTAGGTTTTTTGGATGGTGGTGGGGATATGGTTTTTGGGAGAATTTGAAATATTTTTCGGAATTTCTCATCGAGGGGATTTTTTCCTGAAATTTTGCGATTTTTTCAGGAAAATTTCATGATTATTGTCATCATGAGGATGATGGGAGTTGTATGTATTACGGTCAGTAGAAAGTAAATTGTAGTTTGGCATTTTTGGTGGTGGTGTTGTAAATTTCGCATTTCCTCCACCGTTTCGAGAAGAAATTTTGAGGGAAAAATTTCGTGGGTATAGGAAGTTATAACCTAATATTTTCCCTGGCCGCGTATGGTTAGGAACAAATTCTTCAATCAGTTTCCCCTAGGGAAATGTCAGCATTATATTAGGAGCATTTTTCGTTAATGTTATGAAATCGTGGGGAGGTTATTTCTCAAAGGTAAATGGGTGATGATGATTTTCACAGAGTTTCGCTTTTGTATTGGCATAGGATGGAACCTGGGTCTTCCGATGGACGGCGTGGCGGCTTAACCGACGGAGAAATATCGACTCCGCATCACATTGGAGCGCATCGGACACGAGTTGTTCATACGCCTACGGGTCACTCCCCAGTGGTGGATCCACGTAGTAGGGTGGTTTCTAGTGGATATGGGAATATATGAGCTCTGAATATTTCTTTCCTGATTAGATATAAATTCGGAAAAGAATTTTTCCTAGAAATTTTCATGTTATTGGAATATATGTTCGCTTCCCTCAGCTGAGCTCAGAAGTAGTCGGTTAAAGGAGTTTATATATGAACTAGGGCAGAGGCGTACAAAAAGCAACCATAATTTTCCCAAAAATTTCCGTAAATTTCACCAACACCTGTGTGGGATTAGCGCGAGCCCCTTGTTGACTCGGGAGTGCCATTTGGACTCAAAGACGAACTATCTAGTCCCACGATCTCTTATATAAACTTAACCCTCTCCCTAAGGACTTGAATCGTCGTAAAAAGAGGCCATCCGGCCATAGCGAGATCGATCTGATGAGCATGTGCACGCGTGCACAAGCACGCATGCGCAACGAAAAGGGAGCCGCTATACAATAGAGCTGGCGTAGTCTGCTGTAATCTACCATCCTTTACTCTACAACCTGTAGTTGATAATATGTATATTTCCTTGCATTGGTAGGGGTACCTCCTCCAGTTGTGCAGAGGAGTCCTCGAAGTAGGCCGCCGTTGCACCCCAGCACACCACGTAGGAGTAGACCGGGGATGCTGGGTAGCAGCCCTAGAAGGTAATAGGAAAGGGGGCTTGAAGCGAGAGTTTTCGGTAGAAATTTTTCAGAAAATTTAGGAAAAATCACGGAAAATTCGAAAGGAATATTTGAAATGTTGAGCAGTTTTTTATTTTTTCCGCATCGCAAGTTTTTGCTTGATTTTGCCGAAGCGCTCGGTTAGACATTTTTTGGACATTTCTGAAAATTTCGGAAAATGTTGGGAAAAAATTCGTTGAGATTCGAAAGAAATTTTAGACGGAAAATAATAATTGAATATTTTTTCGTGTCGTAAATTCCAGCTTGATTTTACCAAAGGATTTGCCACTGGTGGTGTTGGAGAAGCAGTGGTGGAGTGGTATGTATTTTAGTTGGGCGCAAAGTGGTGGAGAGGCGAGGTCGCAGTTGCCGTCGAGCACAGCTAGTAGCAGTGAGAGAGGTCAGCAAATGGTTGATGAAGAGAAGGGGAAGGAAGCGGTTGAGGTGGTTGAGGACGCGGCGGCGGGTGGTGTGGTGGAGGCTAATACGGGTAGTATTGGTGTAGTGGATAGGGCGACGGGTTGGTGTGGGAGAGGTCGGAGGTTCTATTCGAGGGTGTGGTGATAATTATCATAGCATTTTTATGATGTCACTGATTGCTAGTTGATCACCTTTGTTGTGATAAATATGAGTTTCGCGCGCCACAAAATTATGTATTATGAATTTTGTGGATTTTTGTTGTATATTTTTACGGGAATTAACAACTATTCGACCGTAGTGATATTCACCGTGAGAAAAGTGATATGGGGAAAATTGATGATTTCGGAAAGCTCATAATGTTGATGGCAGGTGGCGAGAATGGTGCCTCGGACGAGTCTTTCTACGATGGAGAGTATCTGGGTGCGGGGCCGATCGAGCAGGGAGGCAATCAGCCGCCGAGGTTCAGAGCTGATACTTTCAAATCAGATGGAGGTAATTTTGTGGCGCAGTGACAGTGAATTTTAAGGGAATTTTGTTTTACTATAGGAGAGTCTGATTTCAATTCGGATGCGGAGGGGAGTATAGCGGGTGATGGGGAGATTGGTGGAAGAGGGCGGCTGGTTGGCAAGGGTGGAGTGCCGGTTTCAACGGATAGGAGCTTTGGTGCTATTCTCAAGCAGGAGCGACAGTGAGATGGGGGAGAATAGTTGTGGTTGGTGTGGTTGCATTAGTGATGGTGGACGTTTGAATACGACTTGGGGAGATCAATGAGAATCTGCCAAAATTTCCTCTCAGAATTTTCATATTTTATTCTCCTCAGTGGTGATGGTCACCACTGGTTGAGGGCGATATATGTTCGCTTTCCTTAGCTGAGCTCAGGAGTTTCTTCAAAAATTTTCCGGAAACCAGCAAAAGCTTCCCAGAATTTCCTAGAAGTTTTTAAACTGTCACCGACACGTAGTTGGCAATATGTATATTTTCCCACGCTGTGTGTTGAAGATTATTATTATCGTTAGGTACCTGAGAGCTCGTACGCCTCCGCCTTTCCTTTCCCCCTTGCCTGAGATTGTCCGCGTGTTGGGTGCGATAATTGCATTAGTGCTCGCGGTGGGGGTGGCGGTTACTATAATGGTTGGCTCGTTCGGCTGGGTGACGGCATTGAACTGCCCCTTTCCGGTAAGTACGTGGATGAGATTAGAAAAATTATCAGATTTTTTGGAAAATGAAATGACAATTTGGGGGACTAGGGGGCTCTGAGTGCATCGGTTGGACTCACCTAAGTTGGTGAGGTAGGGTAGAAAAAGCAACTACGTCGGTGTATGCCAAACGTTGACGACACAACCCATCTATCTTGGTGGGAGAATTTTCGTTTGATCGGTGACTCCTTGAGCGATCAACTAAGAAGCAGTTGAGGCCCTTCCGGAGGTCTTGTTGTTTTAGGCGGTGCCGTTTGCAGCAACGGAGAATATTGATGGGTTGTATTGTCGTGTTAGAGTGTCGTATGCAAGTAGCATACAGTTGCAGCAGGATTGGTCGAGGATTTATGCTCCTTTCACAGCTAGTGTTGAAGATTCAAGTGGAAGTTTGGGCTGTAGGTTAGGGTGGTGGGTTGGTATTCGGGAGGTCACGGGTTCAATTTTTGGTGGACATCATTTTTGTACGAAGCTGCTTCTCTTCTTTTGCAATTTACATGGTGTGGAATTTTCGAGGCGTGTCCATTTTAGGGTGTAGTATTTCCTATTGCAGGTCGCCAGGAAGGCAGCAACGAGGTGAATTGTCTCTCAACACTTCCTTGTGATTTCACCGTCCAACTCTCGGGAGGCAGCAGTTGCCCGTCTGACGCTATTTTATGGACTCAGGGAGGGTGGGGAAAATCTATTGCGCATGCGTGCAGATTATCCATACCACTTCTTCTTTTTTTTCAGAACTAACGATGTCATATTGCCGTTTGATGGGTCCTGTCGGTACCTCCTAGCTCTTGACCTACAGCAGAGTTTCGTGTCTGGTGCTGGGATAAGCGTGGAGCCGTTCTGTACGACTGATGGAGAAGTCCCACCGGGAAAGGTGAGGAAAGTTTTTTTGCGGGGGTTCTTTTCTGCTGGAAGCGTGACTTTTCAGGTGATCATTGCTAACGCTCTATTGATACTCTGCGCTGGTTGGATCATCTTCGTCGTCATTGGCGAGATTCGCTTCTACGTAGGTCTCTGAGAAGCGGGATATTTTCACGCACGTTTTTTTCGGACGTTTTTACCCATTAGGTAAATCGTCAGAAGAGAGCTCGTATGGAAAAAATCGATCGAGCAGTGATGGAGCGAAAATTGCCTGGGGTAAGGTTCACTGCTGGAGGCTGTTGATGAACGTTTTAATTTTAACTTATATAATGAAGCCATCGCCCATACAGCATCTCCAGATGGGATTAATCGCGCGTGCTTGGTTGAATAGAACTCCTAAACTTTGAAAGTATAACATTGGAGTTTCACCACCCGTTTTATGTGAAGTGGCGTAATACTCTGTGAAAACCCGATATTCGCGGTGACATGCAGTAGTCGTGAAATATATTTTTCACTAGTGTTTTTTCATATCACGGGTGAAATTCCATTGTAACGTAGAGAGCTGATGGAAAGATCATAAGTAGATTGCTGTACTCAGCGTTGGAATATATGTTTGCTTTTTCAGCTGATCTTAGAATCTTTCTCACTAAATCAGTGTTGGAAAATATGTTGAATTTCCTCAACTGACCCCCGAAATCTCCTCACTTATATGGAAGTTTTATGCGGATTCGGATTGAAGTGTACAAAAACCAAGCAGAATTGCCCAAAATTTCCTCAAAATTTTCGTATTGTCACCAACATGTGTGGCCGACCATGTTAATATTTTCCAACACTGCACTAACTATACGAGTTCACATAGGAATTCGGGTGGAAGTGTGTGAAAATGAGGAAAAAATTTTCTCAAAATTTTCATATTGTCACCAACATATGTACTTGACCATATACATATTTTCCCCCCACACTGGTATACTCCTCGTTAAATTTTAAGTTATCAATTTTAATATCAGATTCACGCAGCGTACCGTCGGCGAGTACAGGCCAGCTGGACGGAGCAGGCGAATCGAGAACATAGACGATTGCTTGAGAAGCAAGTGAGTGGCAAAATCTTGCAATCTTGCATTTCCTCAACGCATATTTGTTCATCAGGCTGAAGAACAACACAGCGATACTGATTCTGTGAAATCACCGCAGTCTGTGTTTTCGGTCGACGTGGATTCGCCCTCGGGTTTGCGGAGTAATGTTCACATGGCGTTCGAGCATGGGAATCTGCAGGACCTTGCTGGTGGTTTGGTGAAGACGGTGGACGAGGAAGGTGAGAATATGGACGGGGAAATAGCGTTCCTTAGGCTTTGATAACATTTTAGTAATACTCTATATGCGATGTTCGCGGTGATATGCAGTAGTCGTGGAATATATATATTTCTCGCTAGTGTTTTTTTCATATTCCGGGTAAAATTTCGATGGGGAAAATGGTGTTTCTAGAGTGATGATATCCACATGGAAAAACTGATTGAAGGATGTTCTCCTACCCAAGTGGGAAATTCGAAATTATTTCCCGCCGAGAACACTATAGGTTACTATCAGGTAATCCGATCCATCCCTATGCTCGCTTCCAAAGCAAGGAGTGGCGAGCTAGAGTGTCGGTGGCGTTGCTGGAGATACAATATCGAGCGAAGACCGCATTGAGGAGAGGTGTATTTTATTGGGCATTAACTCTCATTTTGTGAGTTGGTGGAGCGGTGGTTTGTCTATCGAGAGGTCCCTGGATCGAATCTAGCATCGGTCAGTTTTCCTCAGATCGTGGCTTCTATTGTTTCTCTGTTGCCTTCTGGTTGTCGCGGTCTTTCCTGATCAAGTTTATCAGAATTCTGGAAAGTTGGACCTATGGGATTATATAAGGAACGGAGCTGATGGAGGTATACAACGTATCTTGAGGTTGACTGTGCAAGATACAATTGAGGTCCGCTTGAGGTTCAATGTGCTTAGTGGTAGTAAAGCTCATTGAATCATTAGTTATCATCACGTTTGTAACCTGCGGAGGAGGATTTAGTGACACGATCTGGGAATCAATTAAAATGACAGTCGTGGGACTCGAACCCGGCGGGTTCCCTTTGATTACTATGGTCATACTACACTTGTGCTATTTCAGAATCGGTGCCTGTGGTAGCGGTCATCGACTGGCTTGTTCTTCTCGATGGTCTCATCCTCACTATTCTAGCCTTCTTGCCAGCCCTGCTAAGCTCATGGTGAGGGAAATCTTGCAATCTTGCATTTCCTCAACGCCGCCTTTGTAGTTGGCCACCTCTTCCAGTGTCGAGGAAGGGTCGGGATGGACGTAGTGTTTCTGAGAGCGTAAATGCTGGTGCTGGTGCTGTTGCTGGTGGTGTGCCGATGGGCGTTTTGGGGGAGGGGAATGAGCAGAGTGGCGAATTGGTTACAGACGTTTGTGTGATCGTTGCGATGCGCAGTGGATGCTGTACGGATCCTGTGAAGCGCGGTCGAGTGCGAAAGATACTCAGGAGGTGAGAGAAAATCTTCACTGTGCGCTGAGGGTATCTTGAGGTCCAGAAGAGGGTATCTTTTGTGCATGCGTGCAGATGCACAACATTGCTCCCTCCGAAAGTCCATGGTTGCAGTCCAATATTCGTAGTGGAGGTTGGAGAAGGGTTATCACCTGCAGATGACTGCTGCAAGATGATTCAAGTAAGAATCTTGCAATCTTGGTCAATCTTGCAATTCCTCAACGCTTTAGGACTTCGTCTCTCCAGACGTGAATTACGCCTACCTTCCCGAGGATAATAAAGCTATGGCGATTTACTGGGCGAACAAGTCGTGGATACCCTCGGTTTTGCGGTGGGCGAATCCACAGGAGAATCGAAACTCAGCGTAGAAATCGATCAGGTGATCGATTTGGATGATTGTCTTGTGATTTAGATTCCGATATGCTCTTTTGATAACGGACGCTGATTCTGACGATGATATGATGCTGCCCGTGGCCTTGGACCTCAACACTCAGGTTGGTCCTTTTTGGGGGGGAGTTGAATTTGAGAAGAATTTGAGGGGTTCATGTTAAGGAGTTTCACTCGTGATGTGAAAAACACTAGTGAAAACACGACTACTGCATATACTCGTGAGTACCGCGTTTTTCACAGAGTATTACGCCACTTCACGTAAAGCACTCCAGTGTGGTTAAATATGCACATGGTCAACTACATGTGTCGGTGACAATATAGAAATTCTCGTTGGTTTCTTAACACTGCTATTCTAATTCGTATGGAAACTACTGGAATCAGTGAGGGAACTCCTGAGCTAAGCTGAGGATAGCGAACATTAGTTCAAACATTGATTTTCAAAGGGAATATATTTTTGGATTTGCGGTCGTGTGATGCTCCGCACGAATATAGGATGTTGTGGTATCGGATGGAATCACTGTTGCATGGAGTTGACTACCGAAATGGTCGTTGCTTACACTTGAACATGGACGGAAGAAGAGTGTTCGTTTCTTGAGGAAGTTCGGATGATTAGCGAATAACAAAGAATATTTTATATTGTGGAAGAATTGTTAGACAGCTCGAGAGTAGCTTCCGAATTCCTTTTTTCCTTTTGTGTAGAAGTATCGTCGAGAAGGCACCAAAGTGGTGTGGTATATGCCTACGGTGCGGGGCGTCAGCAACATGCCGTCAGTAACACTACGTGATTATATAGTCAAGCAAAGGGCAATGTAGGTTTGGAGAAAGGTTGTTGCGAAACGCGCGCGCCCGATTGATCGATTTCAGAATGTCTTTTACTCAAGAGAAGCTGGGTGGATCGTGTGTTGTAACTCCGTTGAAGGCAGTGTCTCTGTGGGATCGGGCGGCCCTTCACAAAACCCTCGCAGGATTTGTGGGAGTCAATGTGAGCTGGGATAATTTCGTGGCGCGTGACAGAATTTGATGATGATTACCTCAGGATACCCATTCTCCTGGTTTATTACAGCCATCGTTGATGATGGAGCAGTACTTGAGACATGATTTCGAAACTTGTATGGGAGGCAGTCAGGTGAGCATTACTTCTGGTGTGGTGCTGGTATTCAGCAGGAATCCTTCCACAATCTTATCATTCTATTCAACACGCATAGTTGACAACGTGTTAATTACTTTCTAGTTTCCAAACGGTCATTTTTTATGCGTGGCATTTTTTCAGATTCGTACTGATACCGGGAGTAGCAATTTCGCTTCGGAGTGTGGACGGTGGTATTTTCGGTTGCGTATGTTTGTTGTCGCTTTCGTCCCTACTATTCGGCTGAAGGGTTGCTGTTCTCGAGAGGCTCTCGTTGGTCGAATTTGGTCGTTCATAGCGGACGTTGTTCCAACTATTGTGATAATATTGAGGTGAGGAGGGATCGAGCTTGGTATCTCTCGAATGAGAAACAACTGTTCTTTTTGTTAGGCCATTTTTACTGGTATCTATATTCGTTCGGCAACCGGCTCTTATAGGCGTATATTTCGGGATATACTTCGTTATTTTCCATGGTATTTCGGTGGCCCTGATGGCTATTACACTCCGAAACCGTCGAGATGTCCGTCGCCAATGGAGTAAGAAGCCTCTGCCAGGATTCGAACCTGGGTTGTCGCGCATGCTCGCTCTTGTGCTCAGATTGGTTCACTGCAAGTATCATATTCCCCTTCTATAAAATATACCAATACGTTGTTGATATCTACCCTGCTCTTCTTCATGTGATGTTTTCAGTCAATCGCGTACCAGGCGGACGTCAGAGCACGCGAACGGTAAGTTCAGTGTAGGAATAAATCTTCCGCTTCCTCAATTATAGAAGTTTACATACAAGTAGAAGTCCGCAGAGCGCTACAAAAAATAGTCGAATTTCACGGTAAAATTTCAACCACATTTTCCCTCATTGGGCAAGTTTCGCTCATTGACGGGCAAGGCATTCAACCGTGCGACTGATCGAAACACTAGTATGGGAGAGTTCCTTTTCGTTGTGGTGTCCAGTTGCATACCTACTTTGTATCTTTCCTTAGGGAGCCTCAATGCCACTTCCTCCTGCTAAGGATGTTGACTGGTTCACCGTGTGGAGAGCGAGTTCACATTCTGCATCGAGCTTGCCCAATGCAGATCCCGAACCCAGCAGCGCACAGAGGAGAAAATATAAGAATCGTCGCAAGAACGATCAGTAGATTCAGTCGCTACTACGAGTCTCGTAATCAACGAATTGTGTCTGTTATTCTTGTCTTCATTGTTCTGCTGGAACCGTTGTTGTAGAGCCTTTGATAAAAACAACAACACAAACGTACGTATGAAAGTGAAGATTTTCGCCTGCTTACTTTCTCTATTCTGTGTCTATTATATGACAGTAAGTCGGTCTCAGATGGCAGGCGGCCTGAAGGAATCGGTTTCGAAACACAACAATGTGTTGAGTTTAGGAGTATCCATCGCATCGAACTCTCCTTCTTGGAAAATATCGTTGGTCGAAATTAGTCTTGTGTGTGTGGTGGATTTGAACTTGTGTTTTGGAACTCATGAAATGGATGAACGAATTTGAATTTTTGTTTTCGAGCGATGTACGGAAATCATATTTTAGAATTGGGAAACTCGTCCTATGAAACCAATTTTTTTCTATGTGTTATTACATTTTTGAAATTCGGGATTGAAAATGTCGAGAAGACTATTCGTATTCAGGAGTGGCGTATTCACTACGAAGACGTTATAAAAGGGGTAGAGATGATCGAGCCAATTCAAATGAACTTCTAGTGTGCGTCGATGCGAGTCTAACAAAACTGTATTGTCGGCGTTTGACTCAACACACAGACAAGGTTAGGTCGTTTCGACTTGGTGACATTATGAGTTGAGTTATGAGTGACCACTGTAGTGCATACTGAACATCGGCGCTACGGTGCAATGGGATGTTATTCTATCAATACACAACGCGATTCATTGAAATTGACAGAGAACGCCATCCAGTGGATGCGAACGGGAACCATCCTGGATGTGGTGCTGGATTGAGTGTTATTCGTTTCTTGTATTGACCAGTTCAACGCGATATCAGTTATAATTCGTTCTACCAGAACAAGTGTATGAACATTACGGCACTCGAGGCGTGCCTGATGAAAAAGCTCCGACAGGATGAACCTTACAATGATGTCTACAATAAGTCAATCTGGAACTCATTCAAACCTGGATAAAATTTCCCCCTAACGTCAATATCCTGTCATTTCCTGGGATTACGGTGAGTTAAATGGACGTCATCATGGGAGACGATGGTGTAACGCATTCGGCTGTTCGCGTTGCTTTCAACGATCTGGTCGCACCCGATGCACTGGGAAACATATCCTCCTTATTGAGGGCAATTTCAGATAGAGGCGTTCCGTTTGTTCTATTCACTATTATCTTTGATCGGCATCAATTAGTCACAATCACAGCGCCTCAAATTGACCACGGTATTCACACTGATCCCAACTCGGATCTTAAGATATATTCACGCATAAGACAGATAGCAGTGGTACACAAAGTATAAACAACCGTTGATGTAGTCGCACTGCTTGCGCTTTACTTGGCCATCATCATACGACTGAGAAAATGCAAAAGTCGTCCGAGAGCAGACCAAATATTTGAAAACTCACACAAACTCCTCGTAATTAATCTGTCCATCGCCGTCAACATCAGCCTCACGAATCATCTCATCGACCTGTCGAGAAAGCGATGCCAACACACAAGTGAAGGATTTGAGAAATTACCTCCTCGTCGGTGAGTTTTTCGCCAAGATTGGTCATAACATGACGGAGCTCAGCAGCAGAGATGAATCCATTTCCGTCGCGATCGAACACCTAAAAATTAGCAGTCACGAGAATCATTCTCAGCGAAAGCAAACTTTCCGCGAAATCTTCGTGAAAGTTACCTTAAAGGCTTCAATGAGCTCCTCTTCGGTGTCGGTATCCTTCATCTTTCGAGCCATCAGCGACAAGAACTCCGGAAAGTCGATGGTACCTGCCAAAAATCACGTCGCCGGCACGCAACCACTCGAGGAGCCTCACCATTGCCATCAGCATCCACTTCGTTGATCATGTCCTGCAGCTCGGCCTCTGTCGGATTCTGTCCTAAGGATCTGAAAAGAGATGAATAGTAATACAAATCTCAGATATGTGAACGGTAAGTTACCGCATAACAGTGCCAAGCTCCTTAGTGGTAATCGTTCCATCGCCGTCCTTATCAAAAAGTGAAAATGCTTCCTTGAATTCGGCGATTTGCTCTTCAGTGAGTTGATCAGCCATGACCTTAACAAATTCGACACTGATATCAGACGGTATTCATTCACGAGACGATATCATGTAAAACGGCTAGGCGCCAAGTCTCGAAGAGCGAATGCGCGCGCCGAGCTAATCGATTTTACTTCTGATTGCGCGATGTCGTGACATTGGGCACGAGCCAGAGTGACATGGGGTTCGGTTTACTGCTGTATATAAATTTGGGTAGATAGTCTTTGCATCCACATTGATTATTTCGTTACAGAAATCGGTTCTGGGGTTGGTTCGTTGAAGGAGACATACACTTTGTGGATCTTCTGAAGACATTCAAAGTTCTTTTTCAGATTCTGGGAAAAATACTTCTGAAATTCAGAAGTATATAATTCTCGACGATGAGGCTTTAGCCGATCGACTTGCGGCTTTGCAGACAGTCGTGCTCAGTTTTGCGAATACACAGACTTTTTGGCTAGTTTCACCGGTTCCGTTCACTGTGCTATATATGTGGGATAATGAGCGCATCTTTCTTGTGCATTCCGGAAAATTTTCAGAAATTCTCGTATTTTTAATAAATAGTGAGGAAATTCCGAAGTTCCGCTGAGAAACCTTAGCATATGCTCGATCGTTTATGCGTTTGAATTCGTATTTACCAGAGTAAAATTAATTAGCAACGATAGTCCTCGAGCTACAGAATTCGTTCATATCAACTGCGCTGTCTGCGACCTAATTGCTGGACGGGGTTAGAACGGAAAGTTTCTCAAAAGCTTGTGACAAGCGTCCTGAACAGCTGGGCACTCAGGAGCATCAGCTATAGATGATTCCCCTTGCGGTCACCCACTTCTCAGAACATAATTACGGTTTGTTACGGAATCAGTCATACTGAGAATAAGAACATTCACACACATGGTTTCAATGTGAACACCAGAGAGTCAAAAATGGGATATATAGTAGAGTTCCATCATGGACTTGAGGGTAATAGTCTTCACATTGCGAGTGATGATTCCCCTTAAGAATTAGAAATATACACGTTGTAGATTAGAGACGATCGTTATTGGCCTTGTACAGTAAAGCTAACAGAGACAAGCTTGTGTGCTGCCTTGAATTGAAACGGTCCTCAACAACGAGCAATACATGATTTAGTTATCACGCATTCCTGCTCTGAGGCTTCGACCGACTTCTTCTGCACCTCCCTCCATCCTCGCGGTCTCAGTGTGCTCCCTTGGACCAGGCTGTTCATTAACCCCAGGCCTGCCAAAACCCCGCGGCTTTGAAGGCAGCCGTTTCAAAACGCAACGCAACGCAACGCAACGCAACGCAACGCAATGCTTATTGCCGGGCTTTACGGGCTAGCAGCCGATCGCCCTCAAACGTACAATAGCCGGCTCAGAAGCACCTGCAGAGACAGTGAGGCTATAACCCCGTCGACATCAGAGATATGTGGCTGCTACTACTACAACGAGAGAGAAAGGTAGATAATGCAAAGAGCGGGGCCAGATATAATACCTAAAATAGAAAAAAGGGCATAAAATGATAGGGGAAGAAATACAACTGCTACAAAGAGGACGATATAGACCCCAGGCAGCTCTAACATATGCACAGGTGATGACATCGCACGATATATGCTACGAGAAGCACAGGGAGGGTAATGAACCACCAGAACAGGGTTTACACGGCAGACAGAAGACAGCTGCGGTTGGGTAGGGGAAGTAAGTCAAGTCGACCACGGTACTATAGATGCTCCTCTTGCTCCTTCGGGACTCGGCAGAATACACCGGGGATCATAACATCATGTTATTAACATGAACACGGCGATGGTGAACATGGACAGTAAGATTGTCGAAAGCGAGAAGGCATCGCGATGGTTACCAGTTCATACAGTAGACCATGGTAGACCATGCTCGCTGCAAAACCAACTGAGGCAGTATTCGAAAAGGATAATAGCCCACTGCCAGTGGTGCTGCACGTAGTTTTGACGTCTTGTCCACCAAACGATTTCAGGCACGACGCCGAATTGATAGTACCTGGAACGACAAGGAAGAACGACTCACGCGGGACGAATGCGAATGCATTAAATGAGACACCTGAGCGAAAGAACACGGGAGCAACTGTTGGGCAAAGGCAGTGGCAAGTACGGCGTAACTCAGGGGAAAGAAAGGCCGAGGCCTGACAAAAGCCAGGGCAAAGGTGAAAGCAATCCTCGACAAGTAGACAGTGATGCACAAATATCATGAGACAAAATCGCGAGGGAGAACGGTGTGGCATGAACTATAATGCAAGGGTAAGATAGAGCAGGTATACACATAGTAGCAGCCCGCCGAATGAAACGCTAGAAAATAGCTAAACAGGCATCAACGGAGAGAAACCCCACCATACTCCAAGGCACCCGCTGAGGGATGTACGAGTATAGGCAGAGGTGGTCAAGGCTTGGCACCGGTTATACCGAACCGGTCACCCCCACGCCACGTTGAGGCGCCAAGACCTGTGGGGGGCTTTGAAGGCAGCCGTTTCAAAACGCGCTGGGAGGATTCCTGCATGCACTTTGCACGAAACGAGGCGTTTCTGGCGGGGCGCACGCGGTTATCGTTGTCATTCATCACCAGCTTGACGATTGTAAGTTCTCCACAATGCTCTCTAGCAACCGTGCCCAGCAAGCTCAGCTCTCTGAGAACGCCCTTACGGGGAAGGGTGGTCATGTCGTGATGGAGTCTCGGAAGAGGGGAGCGTTCATGGACATCAGCAACACGGTTAATGTGATGTCTGCTCAAACTGGTAGAGCTTGTGCTCATGTGTAGTGGTTTTGCATCTGATTGTCAGGTATGGTGACGCGGAGCAAGGCTGCGGCGGCTCGGTTGTCTGCAAGCAAGCTTGAGGACCTTGATGACACCATTATGCAGGGGACCACGCCGGCGAGGTTGGAGCTTCAGCAGTTGGTCGACTGGAAGGACACTATTCCGCCTGAGGATCGTCAAGTAGGGTCAATTTGCTTCAGATATTCCTACGGTTGACTTTTAGGATCTCAACAACCCTCAGTTCGTGGCGGAATACGTTAATTCTATCTTTGTCAACATGAACAGCATAGAGCAGAAGTGAGAGACGTTTGATCCGCTTGTGGTGTGGTTACTGGTGTTTTTGTTCAGATATCGGCAGTCTTGGAATTACATGGGTAGAACTCAGTCCGATATCACTGAGAGGATGCGCGCTGTTCTGATCGACTGGTTGGTTGAGGTTCATTGGAAGTTCAAGTTGGTTCCAGAGACGCTCTACCTAACGGTATTTGTCGATGGTGACTGCAAGTGCAATATGCTGATCTATTTTCAGGTCAACTTGATTGATCGTTATCTTGAGCAATGTCCCAATCTTCCACGTACACGGTTGCAGCTAGTTGGTGTGACCTGCTTGTTGATTGCCTCGAAGTGAGCCCTCGGGTGATCCTCGTTTATGTGATTACGGTGTGTGTTTTGGCAGGTATGAGGATATATATGCTCCTGAAATGAAGGACATTGTCAGTATATGCGACAGAACCTATCAACGTCATGAAGTCATGCAAATGGAAGTGGACATTCTTAACGCGCTCGGGTGAGTGGATGTCAGTCTGCGTTGTGGTAGTGTGCTCTATTAGGTTCTGCCTGACAACACCATCAGCAATGTTCTTCCTACTTCGGTACGCCAAGGTCATGGAGAGTGATGAGAAACACTTTTTCTTGGCACAGTATTGTCTAGAACTCGCCCTTCCAGAGTAAGTTGGTCCACCCTGTCGCGTAATCAGATTAATCTTGACGTGTTAAATGTACTCGTCGAGTTCATAATCCTCCTCGCCGCAATTTTGCTCGTCTAGTTGTTTCTGGTTTTGTGCAGGTATAGTATGCTGAAATATTCTGCAAGTCAACTGGCGGCGGGCGCTTTGTATTTATCCAACAAACTAATCAGAAAGCCGGCAGCATGGCCACCACATGTGGCCGTGCACTGCCCGAACACTGAGCAAGAGGTGAAAGCTGTGGCGAAGGAATTATGTGCATTACTGCAAGCAACTACCAACGAGGATCACTCGGGGACGCAGCTCAGGGCTGTGAAGAAGAAGTTCCAACTTTCGAAGTAAGAGGTTTGCCTTTTCCGAGTTTCAGGCAGTGCTATTGGTCTCTCTAGGTGTAGCGACGCATTTCTTATATTTTGCTAACTGTCGTTGATGTTCGCTTGTGATTTATTGTGTTGTTTTGTCAGGTTCCGCAGTGTATCCCGTATGGTACTTGGTTGAAGAAGATGGAAGCCGAAGGGAGGTTTAGTCCCGTGTTTATAATAAAGATTTATCACCCAAGAAATTGTCTCTACTATCGTCTAGGTTTATCGTCAGTTTGTATGGTCCAGAGGAATGCTGAGATGCTGGACACGTCATTTCTGAGAAATGAAGCTCAATCGAGGTGGCTATCAGTGCTGCTATTCTTATCGTATGTGCTTGATAGTGTCAACTCGGTTAAATTAGTTTCAAATGCTGCTGTAGGCTAGCATTTATGCATGGTAGATGATGCACGAGATAGAAAAGGGATATTCTTCCTTGAACCTGTGTTGAGTTCATGACGCTGATAAATATCGGCTTTGTGAGTTCCAGCTTGTTCTTTTCGAGTTGTTGTTCTGTGAGTCTTTGCTTAGTCCTTGGAGTGAACGTTGATTTTTGCAATGTTTTCGTCGATTGATTTAGATTTGCTAATGATGGTATTCATTGTTATCAAATCGTCTTTCATCTCTTATGAATATTGATGATATTGGACGACTTTTCGCACCAGAGGGTTGTTCCAATTATACAAATCATTAAATTTATACGCATCTGGAGGTGTGGATGAATTCGAACGCTCACGGTACATTGATCATATTTTTTCACTTTCTTTCATGGTGTGGTCGGAACGGGTGTAGCATAAGCGAGTGATATGATAGAACTTTCTGTATTTTCCGGCAAAGTTTGGTTATTGCTTGTCACATTTCAGTGAGAGGATTTTAATTGAATATTATTAAGATATTCATTATATTGTCAGATGAATAGATTTGGACAACGGGAGGATTTTATGCTATTCTGGTTCAAGTTCCGTGTACAGATTCACCTAGCTAAGGCGAAGAAACTAGCAAGCAGGAAGTGGCCTTACTGGCTTTTGTGATGCGATTCACTCGATATGAGACTTTCCATTCAACGGCTTGTGATTTTTGTTCGAGTTGGCACAATATGAGATGGTCAATTACGCGTGTTCGACAATATCAAAACTCGGAGGGAATTGTTTTGTCCGTTCTGAGTATACCTAAAGTTGTGGGAGAACCCCTGAGACGAGGGAAACAAACATGAAGTCCAATATTGTATGCAACCTGAACTTCTTCGCGTAAAATCTCAGGTTTCATAATAAAAAATTTGGTAGTTCGTATTCATTTTGGGACTGATAAATTTGAAGCAATCGGAAGCAAAACTTGGTGGTGAGGAAAAATGAATGTTTGTGTTGACAAGTATTTCGTTACTGCATATCCCGAATGAAATCCGTATACGACACGATGGGAGAAGAGAGATGGTCTAGTCGGTTCGTGGTGGTGTTTTGGCTCACTGAATACTACGAGCTCGTGGAGATGGTAGCTCATTGACATCAGATCATGCTAAGGTCGCGACAGCAATTGATTCGAAATTCAGATATACAAAATAGCATCAATATAAAGTAGGAGTTGAGGATAATTACTCATCAGCGGAGTATAGGAGCTCATCAGTAGATAATATATGTGCAAGATAATATCTTTTGTGCATGCGTGCAGATTTGTTGTGTCGATTGTCGTAGTGCGCAGTATGACGATTTCCTACATCTCTTTAGTCTTACAAGGCGCGGCCCGCTCTTATTGGTATGATGTCTCCCCCCTCAGCCTGTATCTGATGTTGGTGCCGACCATGCGAATCAATTTTGAGCATCCTTCCCAGTGCGGACGCGAAATTCTGTGAAGTAGATCTCCTTTCGAATCAGTTTATAATAGATTTTCGCTCTGAGTGTTGAGTTTCCGAGACTTGCTGGTCCAGTGTATTCCGTTTCAGCTAATTTTCTTCGTTAATCCCCGGTAGCACTCCCAACGATTGTCACCATGAAGTAGTGAGCTTTTCCGACACAGGAGGGTTATGACTTGTGATACTCAGCCCGTCCAATGAAGATACCTTCCTGACCCAGCTCAAGAAGACCTACATTTCCAAGGTTGATGATCCCGAGGAGTGAGCCTTTACAGCTCTGAGTGGCCTTTCCTCTACATTAGATTGGAACATGGAGTTTTTTTATGACTATCCTCACTGACTGGTCGTATACAGTTATCATGAGAACGATTCTATAGCAGTATTATCAACTCAATAACCTCACCATGTCTCGCTCGTTGGCTCTTGTTATCTATTTCTTCGATATGTGCATTTTATGACACTGTTCCTGAGCTTAGTAATAGTGGCTGTCCTCCTCAGATACATAAAGTTAGAAGATGCCCATGGAGCCCACAACTACCACCCGCTTCCAGTGGTCTTAGCTCGTGGAGAGGGATGTCATGTTTGGGACGTCACAGGAAAGAGATATCTCGACTTCCTCTCCGCGTGAGCTAATCGATTTATTCGCTCGATTGAAATTCTCCCCTTTGTGACGAGTAGTACATGATGCGTAGGAATGTTCGTCGAAAAAAGTGTCGACTTGATGCTGTTTTGTATCTCTCACATTATTCGCCTTCGTAGGCTGCTGAACTTATGTATATATAATAGCTATTAGCTGTCCTTGAATGTAGTCATCACAATTTACATCGGCCTTGACTTGGGATCTCCGCTCAGCTCCAGTGTATTCATCTATTATTATCACTCATATAGTTTGCCGTAGGTATTCAGCCGTCAATCAAGGCCATTGCCATCCTCGTATCGTCGCTGCTCTCATCCAGCAGGCTCAAAAGCTGGCTCTGACTAGTCGCGCTTTCCACAACGAGACACTCGCGTTGTTCACGAAGTTCATAACTGACTTTTTCGGGTAGGGTGAACATCTCTCGAGATGTGCATGCGTGCAGTTGGATTCATATTAGGTATGATAGAGTACTCCCTATGAACAGTGGCGTTGAAGCTGGAGAGACTGCGTGCAAGCTAATCAGAAGGTGGGCGAAAAGAGCTTGTCGTTCGAGGATTAGGATATACGTTTGGCTAGCTCAGCCCAGCCCAGGGATTTTATCATTATAGTATGGGAGTTTGTATACGACTAAGAGTATTTAAGAACTAGGCAGAATTTCCTGTTGGTCAGAATTTTTGCGTAGTTGACTACGCACGCATTTTCCGCGTTGGCAGTTTGCCTTTAGATGGGGTTATGAAGTGAAGAAGATTCCCAAGGACAAGGCTGTAATCGTTTTTGCTGAGGACAACTTTTGGGGTAAACAGCTCGATATCGTCGTGATTGATTGAATCACCAAAGCTCGCAATTTTCGAGTCGACTTACCCGTATGACGGTCGCTGAGAGGAAGGCTGGACTTCTGTTATGCTTATTAGCGAGGAAAGATTTAATATTTACTCGTTCCTTCCCGGCCGCCTCGACTGAGATGGAGTATCAGCTGTAGTTATTCAGGACGTACCTTGGCGGCTTGCAGTGCCTCGACTGATCCTGATTGTTTCAATAACTACGGACCATTCATTCCTGGATTTGAAATAGTGAGCTCTCTGGGTGGTCCTTGATGATGTTATGATTGTGGCCTTGAGATTTTCATCAGAATATATTTGTGAGTGATTCGATTAGGTACCGTATAACGATGTCGATTCTTTGAAGAAGCTGCTGGAGAGCAACCCGAATATTGCAGGTTTTTATGTTGAACCTATTCAGGGCGAGGCCGGCGTTAACGTCCCAGATGACACCTATCTTCCTGCTGTGCGCGAGCTTTGTACGAAGTAGGGCTTCTCGATTCTTCTACGACGAATGGCAGCACGTTGATATAGGCACAACGTGCTCCTGTGTTGTGATGAGATCCAGACTGGCCTTGCTCGCACTGGAAGATTGCTGTGCTGCGACCACTGGGGTGTCCGCCCGGACCTTGTGGTAGGTTATGATCAGTTAGAGATATGTGTCGGAAATGCTTGTCAAGGTTCTGGGGAAGGCATTGAGCGGAGGCATGTACCCCGTATCTGCCGTCCTATCGAATGACGAGATTATGCTCACTATCAAGCCGGGACAGCATGGATCAACGTGAGCCATCGCTATGTGAGAGTAACTCTGTAACCGTCATTTTGTAGTTACGGTGGTAATCCGATCGCTTGTCGTGTTGCAATGGAGGCTCTTTCTGTTATCAAGGACGAAGGTTTGGTTGAGAGAGCGGATCGTTTAGGCGAAGTATTCCGTGGTAAGCTCGAGGAAGGCATCGGACACATGAGCTGGGTTAAACAAATTCGAGGTGAGGAAGGATTGAGGCGTGTCCAATTCCATGGCGTTCGCTTAGGTAAAGGGTTGCTCAATGCTGTTGTATGTGATGACACTTTTCGCGACAAGGTTAAGGCTTGGGATGTAGGTTGGAGCGCTCTCTTGCTTTCACTACTGAGTTCTCTAGGTCTGTCTGGCCCTCCGCGATGCTGGTCTCCTCGCCAAGCAAACCCATGATAACATTATAAGATTCGCGCCGCCCTTGGTCATCCCTGAGGTAGGTCGACTTGGAGGTTGTTGTTAGCGTACCGAGTCTCTTAGGACGCTTTGAGGCAGGCGTGCGAGATCATTATTGAAGTGTTCAAGAGTTTTGATGCGAAAGTTGTTGGAGCGTGAGTAACCTGCGAGTGTGAGTAACCATGGAATGTCACATCTTTTTTTGATTGAATCTATCTTTGTTTCCTTATCCACGAGCATGTGATAGTGTTCGTCTAAAGTATGCTTAGTTTAGTAGGAGTTCAGCCTGTACAGGTGATGAAATTGTCACCCGGTGAAATCCAACCGATTTGAATATAAATCACAAATATCTACCATCAATACGGCGAGACGAATGCGTTTCACGAGCTTAACGTCGCCATTACATGATGTTGTATATATTCCCATTGCAATACGTTCAACACACCAGCACAGTTGGAGCAGAGTGGCAAATGGGAACTTGCGAACTCCGCAAAGAGACAGCCACGATATAGTCAATGATAAGTATGTTATCTGCGCAATCTATGGAGACGCAGTGAAACAAAGTTACACTATACAGTGATTAAGGCGTCACGATGAACAGCTTCATCACAGGACATGATATGGTTCTTGTCCTCATCAGAAATTCCCCATAGCGGCCCCTCCCCTATTCGGCCGCCCTAAATAGACCTCTGAATGGTATAGTCCATAGCGGGGGGCATAGCGGCCCCTCCCCTATTCGGCCGCCCTAAATAGACCTCTGAATGGTATAGTCCATAGCGGGGGGCATAGCGGCCCCTCCCCTATTCGGCCGCCCTAAATAGATCTCTGAATGGTATAGTCCATAGCAGGGGGCATAGCGGCCCCTCCCCTATTCGGCCGCCCTAAATAGATCTCTGAATGGTATAGTCCATAGCGGGGGGCATAGCGGCCCCTCCCCTATTCGGCCGCCCTAAATAGATCTCTGAATGGTATAGTCCATAGCGGGGGGCATAGCGGCCCCTCCCCTATTCGGCCGCCCTAAATAGATCTCTGAATGGTATAGTCCATAGCGGGGGGCATAGCGGCCCCTCCCCTATTCGGCCGCCCTAAATAGATCTCTGAATGGTATAGTCCATAACGGGGGGCATAGCGGCCCCTCCCCTATTCGGCCGCCCTAAATAGATCTCTGAATGGTATAATCCATAGCGGGGGGCATAGCGGCCCCTCCCCTATTCGGCCCTAATACGGAGGGGTATCATTGTGAAAGATCCTTTCCCTGTCACGAGACCCTCCGTCTCGCTATCGCCCGTGTGTGTACTGGTGTCGAGTACTCAGTGGTGATAGCGGCGTCCGGGCCACCTCAGAAGGGAGAGCTTCTTTCCGCACGACGCTGATCTGGGAAAGTGCACTCAACTCGCCGCTCGAAGTATCTCCCAGTTCTCGCGCAAAGTCAATTTCCATGGTGCGTCGCATAAATTTCTACCGTCTGAATTTGGTTAGCGGCATACTCGATCGTGTGATACCATTCGCATCTGCCAGCGCGTCACCAATGTAGTTGCTGAATATGGCACGCCTCAAACTATCCTGCCTACTACTAGCGGGGCTGCTCTCGAGTCTCAGCCTCGTTATTGGAGGCCCACGACACAGCCGCCCTCGTTTTGATATTGAGCAGCTGGATTACCAATCCAAGCCCAATATAGAATTGATCAACGGCGAACGTATTCCTGATGGTTCTACCTTCCTCGTCGGGGTGCCTATCAACAAGGCGACTTGTGTGAGTCATTGAGATGACCGTTTTGAATCGCACGCGCATAGTAGTGATGGGTTGCTGCTGTACTTCAGCTCCTTGTCGCCGTAACAAGCTACGGTTTGGTGACGAAACCCGCGCATCCGACCTGGGTTTACTTATACAATGTTGAGGTCCGCGAGGATTGGAGAAGGAAGGGCATTGCAACGGCTATGATCGAAACGCTACTCGCACGCGTGAGCTTTCGAAAGTTTGCCTCTAGCCTTCGAAAGTTTCGCAGATAAAATCAACATGGCAGCATATCACTGGCGTGTATCTGGGAGTAATGGATGATAATTGGCCGGCCAAGGGTCTTTACAGCAAGATAGGATTTGTTCATGAAGGACAGGTATGATAAGCGCGAGTGAAGAACTATGTTCTCTGACTGTTTACTCTCAGATATATTTCCAAAACGAGACCATACCCACCCTTGGGTATGTCTATCGCTTCAATTCGGAAGCAGCCCGCAATTTACCGCAGAACCTGCTGGAACCCGAAGTAGAGTTGATTCCCACATCTGATGATAGAGGTCACAGACTGTATGATGCGATGTTCGTCCCCGCGATCGATCGCTCCGCCCAAAAATTGATGTTATGAACTACATCGGTCGAATCGTTTGCATCCCTCATGGATGTTGAGATTTTGTTGATGTGTTCCTCTCATTGTCCATCGTCAAGTGATGTTGTGTGCCAGAGTATCAGGATTGATTCATTGAGTGGCTACCCTCACTCAAAGAGCCCTCCCTCAGGAATCCTGAGGGAGGGCTCTTGGAGAGAGTGTCATAGTCCCGACTGTCAGGACTATTAAACGTGTCCTCGGAATCCCGAATATAAGCACCTACCAACCTGGACCACGATCGATTATCATTCGGTGCAACCATCGACATCGTACGACAGTTCAAGAATGAACGCCTTCGACCGAGGATTCAGACATGCGAAGATATCGTTCCCTGTTAGATTCAATTACGGAACGTATTCACTGATCAGCTGTCATTGTTATGATACAAACAGAGGTAGCATATGCGGGAGTTCATCAGTCTGTATGAGGACTTGCGTAATTAGTTCAACTCGATAAGATGGTGAGTTGTGGAGCAGATGATCGAAGGTTCAGGTCCTGCATCGGGTATTTTCTTATGATTGTTGGCGGTTTCAACAGCGTGAGGACGGAACATCCTGTGGATGACTATATTCGCTAACGCGAACAGCCTACATCATTGTCGCAGCCATCATTGACCATCGACTACTGCCAGTTACCCAACAGAGACTATTAGATTAGTAATCTCGTCGATTACGGGGAAGCTCCAAGTCGGAGACCCGCCGACCACAACCAAGTTAAAGACTGACGTTTCGAATCATCCACACTGTGGATGATTTCAGTGAAACGCTCGGGCGAGTGCTCCCTATGAATCTTGGACTAACCAGGAGCACAGTCAGCACTAGTGTTTGCAGGCTCGTACAGACTGTATACTGCAGGCTTCATACCATTTCAATGATGCGCATCCCCATCGCCCTACTTGTCGTCACCTTTTCTGGTGCTTCGGCATTCTCCACTGCTCAATGCGACGCTGACTGCGCTGGCACTTACCCTGGGTCATACTGCAAATACTGGAAGAACCCTAGCGTTTGCTTCGGCTCGGATGTTCCATGCAACTGCGGCACGAGCATATCCCCTGAGACTCCTCGTAATTGCGATGTGGGTTGTGCCTTGGATACTCCCGGCTCGTACTGTAAGTACTGGAAGACTCCAAGTGTTTGTCATTCGTCCAATGCGCCATGCACTTGCGGGGCTCCCACGACTCCTGAAATCATCACTGAGGAGGTTTTGGTCAGTACGACAGCGCCAATTGAGAGTCCTGGACGTGAGGGGGTTGAGGGGACCATCTCGTCTGTGGCTACGCATACCGCCGACACCATCACCACTACAGCATCAATCACAAGTGACTCCTCAGGAGTAGAGGGTGGGGCTATCGAGTCAACCACGGCAGCCGTCGTAACCGATGAGGTTGACGTCACCACTGCGCCTGGTGAGTCGCCTGGCCTTGAACAGGAGGATGACGAGGTTTCTACAACAACCGAAGGTATGGTGGTCACCACTACGATAGCGCCAGCTGCCGTAGTCACCACGACCCTCTCGACCACTTCTACTGCGACTCCCGTAACTGATGAGATCCCAGTTACTACTGCAGCTGGGGAACCGTCTGATAGAGACAAGGATGAGACTGCTGCTACGACCTCCACATCCGAGCTGATGACTGTTACGATTGCCGATACAACGGCTAATTCTATCATTGAGACGACCACTGCTATTGTCTCATCAACCCCAACGGTGACTCCTGCGCATACTTCACCATCGGTGGTCACTGAGGATGCTCCAGTTATCACTACTGTCGATGACTCGGATGGTCGAGACCAGATGGAAGTGACCAGCGCACCTTCCACTACTGAAGTCTTTTCTACGGTCGAGGTGACTTCCACTGACTCCTCTGCTGTGACACCCACTACTGCAAGCGCCACTACCGGTGTCTCCGCCACTGCTGAGGTCACCACTGCCTCCCTGCCGACCTCCGCCTTGGCCACTGTGGCTGTCACTACTGTCGACCCGAGTCCCTGAATGCCGTTCTAGAATGAAGCTCTCAAGTGTTCACTGCCGCATTGCGGCTCAGCGTGATGCTTTTATACCCTATGATCAAGTGTCGTGATATTGGCATTGTTTGTTGCGTTTCCGCGTTAATACCAAGAGAGAAGGAGAACAACGAATCTTTCCATCATCTAGAATGATGGTAATCCTCTGGAATCAATCTACCCGGCAATGCGGTGCACACGCCCGAGCGGATGTTACGCGGAAAGTACCGTCCGCGTCCTATCATTTGGGCTGTGTATTATATTTGGGTTTCTTTCGGATTAAAAATCGTGCGTATTACACACTTTTTGATGCACGCGGATAGTAACTAACACTTCTGCTGGAAAATGTCTTTTCGGGCGCCGTGAACACGTTACATGGTTGCGATTGAAAACAACATCTCGCTGTAAGGGCGGATACAACACGTCAACTGAAACTGGGTGTCATCGAATGGGCGGGAATGCTGTTCAATGAATCCCCGCTGACGCTTCTGACAATTCGTCTGCTGTTTGCTCACTGACTGGGAGAACATACACTCCTCGAGGATCAGCGCGCGTCTTCGGGCGTTTATGTGATAGCAAACGCTCGAAATCTTCTCGTTTCCACGCGAAATCAACTTCCACGACGTGCGGCATCGTAACGGATTTCCAATATCCTTCGAGTTAGCCGAACACCGTTTGATCTCATTTAGAACGTAAGATTGATAACAGCTTGGTAGATCCATGTGAAGTTCAATAGTGGCGAACTAGCATACTCGCTCGATGCTACTAGGTGCACAGCAACATGACAATAGTGAGAGAATTATGGAGGACAATCTTTTTTTCGTCTTCGGGAGGCCACATCATTATCGAAATCCGCTGAATCCAGAACAGCATTACGATCGACCGCTCAGCTCCGGTCAGTCGTGCGTTAAGTTCTTCTCCCACGAAATTCCTTTCATCATTGGAGTTTCACCCGTTTTACGTGGAATGGCGTGAAACTCAGTGAAACACGCGATATTCGCGGTGATATGCAGTAGTCGTGAAATATGTTTTTCCCTAGTGTTTTTCATATCACGATCGTGAAACTCCATTGTAGTTACCTACTATGGTGCGCATCAAGCTTTCCATCCTCCTGTTCACTGAGGTATTCCTGAGGCTCAGCCTCGGTATCGGAAGTCTACAACCCAACGCTGCTCCGTTCGATGTTTCCCAACTTGAATATACTTCCGAGCCAACCACACTAGTGGTCAACGGCGAGCACATGCTCGATGGCGCGGCCTTCCACGCCAGGTATCCCATTTCTAGAAAGGCCGATGTGAGCTATCCAGAGGGCACCCCATATACATCGTTCCGCATAAGCCTTAAATGCACGTTACTCAATAACATGTATGTGGAATGAGCCAGTGGTATCCATCGAATACGACATACCTGCATGGTATGTAGTGCATGCTAAATTATCCTGTATTCACAGCTTCAAGGAGTCACGAAACTTGGATGGCTTTCTCCTCCACTCGTGCCCATTGTTCATATACCAATGCAAGCAATGACGCCACATGAAAGTTTCAGTGTTCGTCAGGTTCTTGTCGCTAGTCTGGGCTATGGTATTGTGATGAAGCCCGCATATCCGTTCTGGGTGTATATATATGATCTCAAAGTGGATGAAAATTGGAGGAGGAAGAAGATCGCAACTGCGATGATCAGAACGCTACTTGGAAACGTAAACTCTCTGGAATTTCCCTTCACTTCCCTGACGGTTTTGTAGATCAAGGAAAACTGGCATCCGAAAATTCCCGGAGTCTACCTAGGAGTATTGAGCGACAATGAGCATGCCATAGCTCTTTACGAGAAAATAGGTTTCGAACTAAAAGGACAAGTACGTTACATTCGGGAGACTTGTGAATAGTGCTTTCTGATGATTTATAGATATACTTCCAAAACGAGACCGTCCCCACCCTCGGATACGTCTATCGCTTCGATTCCTCGTCAGCTCGCGACCTACCCAAGCGTGTTCTAGCCCAGGACATAGAGCTGAACCCCACGAGTGACCTTGTAGGTGAACAACTATATGATGAATTGTTCGTCTCCGAGATCGATCGTTCTCCCTCTACATTCGCGGTATGAACTGCATCCCGCATGGCTGTCGAGATGTTGATAATATGCTCCCTGTAATGTCTATTATCCAGTGATGTTGTGTGTCGGAGTATATATTAGGAATCTACTCTTGAAGGGAGAGTAGCCACTCAATACATCTGCCATAATTTAGGATTGATGTATTGAGTGGTCATTCTCAGGACAATTGAAACAGTAATGGGCCCTCGGGATCCGAAGTATGAACATGTGCTACAGCATATCGCTGATATCTTGCTTTTTAATGGTTTTCGAAATCTCAAGTCCTATGTTTGAAAGTTCGATGGTTCACAAAAAGAGTTGATGCCTCCCGTGTATATCATGCTCGATCGTCTGGGATGTTTTATTGAGTCTCCTACAGATTTATCCACTTTACTCGCTATGCATAGTTTAGTACGGGTAGAGCAAGTAGATAGTAAACGTCTACTACATCCGATCTGGGTTATAGAAATCCCAGGACAACTATAAAGAATATACGGTATATTCTGAGGTATATTATATACCTCAAAACTTTTTCCAGAAAACGCGCTGAATTGAAAGAGAGAAAAATCGTATAGGTGACAAGTAGAGTACAGCCGGGTGAGATTATATGCGTGGATTGGTCCGCAACTGTCGGGTGAAACTCCACGATTGATGACAAATGATCGTTCCTTTTATATTAGTATATGCGCTTTCAACAACAGTTTCTCATGTGCTGAAACAGTTTACAAAAACAGAGCATGAAACTCACTGATTCAAATTGAAGGCTGCGTCGCGCCATGCCGACACTATCTCGCTATTGGAAGATAATCTAGCGAACTCTCGAAATCGCCGGCTCTGAACGGAAACACAAGAGTGCCGGATTGCAGTTACTGCTACGCGATATGCAAATGGTCGACCACATGTGAGGAATACAATCGGTGACAATATGAAAATTCTGAGGGAATTTTGCAAATTTCTCGACACTTCTACCCAAATCCGTATGTGAACTCCTATGATCAGCTTCGGAAACTCCTGAGCTCAGCTGAGGAAATCAAACATATATTCCTACTCCAACACTGCTGCTACACCCTATTGCAAAACCAAGCTCACCATCTTGCGACGTAGTTCTGGATTTACATTCTCCATTGCGTGGTCGTAGTAATCATATGATACCCGTTCAATCTGGGTACTCGTTATTTTAGGTAATCTCTCAGCAAGCTCCAGAAGTATCTAAGAAAACAGTCAATTCCCGAAGAGGTTATTATCAAGGGAAAGACGACGGACGATATTCACCTTTTCCATTGTGACTGCGTCACATGCGCCACTCGCGAGACCTGCGAGGATCTGCGGCGTGCTCAAGTCTGACACTTCCAATGCAGACAATGCGTTATCAAAGACCACTCCTGGAGAGAAAACAAATCACCAAGAAACGAAACTCCATCGAAACGGTTCTAGCGGAGTTGTATATTGCAACGCGGCCGATTTCGATCGCTATTTTTTCCATGACTACAAAGAGTTTGAAAACAGTGGAGGAATAAATGGGACGGTGACTGAGTGAATATACTCACGGAAATACGGTAGTCTCCATGCAAACACTAGGAAAACATTTTTCGCCAGGGAAAAAAATATCGAGCCGCGAAGTTCTCATATTGTCACCAACACATGTAGTTGGCCATGTGCATATTTTACCACACAAATATACACCAAAATTCATTTCCCCCACACACTGCGAGATCCAGCAGCCTGATAATATGAAACTCACGCAGAAGTTCTTTCGGATGGCGTTCTTTCATCGACATCACTTGTACCATACACTCAGCAGCCTCCCGTCCCACACTAGAGTGAACTGAAATAGTTAACTAATCATCTGAAGAGGTATTCCATCTGTCATGCTTCTACGTGCTTTCCGATACACTTCCGCTTGAGGTGAGTGCGAGCCGTCCAGCTTTAGAAAAGGCAGGCTCTTCACACAAAGGGAAGGGTTGCGTTCGCTATCAGCGATTATTGCTCTACAAACCATATCGCAATCCCAACCCAGGGCGTCGCTGGCCTTGAGCAGTTTGAGAAGCTCTTCTGAGGTATACCTATTGGAAAAACAAAGCGCAACTTCTGGAATAAAATAAAATTTGAAAACGCCTAGATAAATTTTCACCCTATCGAAGATAGACCCCGAATGACCAGGATGGGAAAATATGCACATGGTGAAAATTTCGAGGAAATTTTTATTAGTTTTTATTGGTGCAATTGTACAACAATTCCTCACTAGGATTCTATGGTGAGAAAACTCCCGAGCTCAGCCGAACAAAGCAAACATATATTGGAAATTCGGCCGTGCTATGGGAAACACTAGTGAAAAATATATTTCACGACTACTGCGTAACGCGAATACTGAGTATTACGCCACTTCACGTAAAACGCGTTTAACTCCAGTGTAACACTAATAAAACTAGAAGCCTGACCTACGCAGTTTCCATAGATACTTTAACGATCTCGTCGCGTAAGCGCTGCAAATGCTCATCAGGTATCCTCACACTTCGTAGTAGTCCACTATCATCTGAAAGTAAAAATTTTATAATGGAGTTTCAATACCCACACAGAGGGAGTTTCCTACCGGTATTAATATCGGCAGCTCGAACAGCCAGTCGCAAGAGCTCCTCGCTTGACAAGGCGCTGACCTTCACAGCATCGAAACAAACAGTTAGCAGTTGTGTCAACTAAAGCACATGTGTTGGTGACACTGTGAAAAAATTTCGCGAAAATTCTTGGAGTTTCCCGTTAGCCTCTGTGCATTTCTACCCGAATTCGCATATAAACTCCTATATTTAGTGAGAAAACTCCTGGCAAGCGAACATATATTCCAACACTGTAACATACAGTCAGACCCAAACAGTTCGAGAGGGCATTCTGCGAATTCGAGACTAGTACGAGCCGTACTAGTCTTAATTTAAGACTAGTAAGACCCTTAAATCCGCAGAATAAAAAAATTCGTAGAACACTACTTAGATTCGTACTGTACGACTACAGGACACCCCTAATAAAACGTCGTCAACTGATTCATATTATTATGAAGTTCGTATTACTCAAAGTTGACTTTCGAGCTCCCAAAATTTGGAAGTATAACTCCATATAAAGGTGTATACTACAATACGATACCGATACTGTGTAGTAGATATATACAGCGGAGTTTCACCCGCGATATGAAAAACTCTACTAGTGTTACACCACTACTGACTACTGCATACCACCGCGAATATCGGCTATATTTTTCACCGAGTATTACACCACTTCACGTAAAATGGGTGGAACTCCGTAGTAAACTGAATATAGAAATACCGAGCCTGGGGTTCGAACCGGAGACCTATGTCGCGTTACAGGGCTAAACATGACCGACAATCTAACTCATCAAGATTTAAAAGTGAAGTTTGCCAAACCCTTGGCGAGCTCTACCACTTCATCGAGAAAGCCTAGTACTAATACCAAGTATTGAGTACCAACATACTCTCACCTCAGCAGCATGCTCCCTCATTTTTTTCTGACTCATCCCTACGTAGGAATCATGCCCCAGAGAGCGGAAACCGCAAATAACGGTGATCAATGCACCGTTTGATAAGGAGGGCGCTGACAACAGCAGACTAGTGCTGGAGGAGGAATATATATTCGCTCTTCTCAGCTGATCTCAGGAGTTTCCAAAGCGAATTTCGAGAGTGTGTCGAAACCAATGAGGATTTTCCCAAAGATTTCCTCACAATTTCTATATTGTCACCAACACATGTAGTTGACCATTGCATATCTCCTCCCAACCACACTGCTTCAGACTGCCATTCGAAAATGAGTTTTTACCCTGGCCGTCCTCTCCTTGTCGGACGAAGGCTGATATTCGCTTAGTCAATATTCCCAGTGCACCTGCGTGCAGAAAAGGAAATAAATTCAAATTTCGACTTTCTTAATTTGAGAATTTTCGGAAAAAAGATGAAAAATTTTCGGGAAAAAATCGGAAATTTCTCCTGAAATTTGAGGAAACCGCTCCCTGAGTGCGCACAGTATATATGCCTATGAACACCTTCGTTTCTCGTGTAACACTCGCAAGTATAAAACCACTCGTTAAGATCAAGAACCATGCTGTTCCTAGCCCTCGACTACGTCATTCTACTACGTTACCACAAATTGCTCAAGTATTTTCCCAAAAAAGTAAAATGCCTTTCTATTTCGCGTATGGCGAACCTCATGTAGTGTGCAGTACAAGTCGGCTCGGTGGTATGCAAATGTGAACAATATAGTTTCACCCACGATGTGAAAAAACATATTTCGCTACTACTGCATACCGCGAATATCGCGTTTTTCACCGAGTTTTACGCGTAAAACGGGTGAAACTCCGATGTGTGTGTTTTTCCGCAGATACACTGTAAACATTGGTATGAGCACTGATGTCGTTATAGAAGTAACCATCTCAAATTTCAAGAGCAAGAACTTATCAACTATGTCATTCGCCGCGAAATGTGGGAAATATGCATGTGCTGTTGGTGACAACGAGGAAATTGCGAGGAAATGTGGGGGAAAATTTCTATCAGCCTCCTAAAATTTCTACCCAAATTTCTGTAATTAGTTACTGAAATCATAAGTTCAGCCTAATTAGCAAAACATATATCCCAACACTCTTTCTTACAATTCTGAATAAAAGAGTGGAGTTTCACGACCCGTTTTACGCGAAGTAGGGGCGTAAAACTCGGTGAAAAACGCGGTGATATGCAGTAGTCGTGAAATATGTTTTTCACTAGTGTTTTTCATATCACGGTCGTGAAACTCCAGTAATTTCCGAAAACAGATGTGGGATTCTTAATCTTACTGCTCGTCAATCCAGGGGGTCCAACTTGAAAACGACAAAGGGCTTTCAAAGTTTTCCCAAATGCCGCCTCAGCCGCATCGTCTTTCGAAAGATGAAGGCCGTCACTCTGACCTTCAGTGAGCATCGAGAGGAATCTATTAACCCACTCCTCGAACACCTGCATACAGCGTCATCAACATAAATTGGTGCTCTTCAACGAGGTGCGGTATGGTAGAAATAATCACACCTACCACATCGTCTCCCAGTTTTATAGAATCCAAACATCCCGGAATCGCCATCAGTTGAGCAGTATCTGATCGCGACTATCGAAAATTATTGCAATTCTATAGATTTCACTCGTTATATGAAAAACATATTCCACAACCCACTTCGCGAAAAACGCTTCTGCCCGGCGAAAGAGCTTCCATCTACGAAAGTGTTCACTCCATATGGAGTGTTACGCCACTTAACGTAAAACGGGTCGTGAAACTCCATTTCTTTTTCAAAAAACCCGAACTCACCTGCTTGTGGTACAATTACCTTGAGAAACAGATCGACGAGCTTATGCTGTGTCACCGAGTTTACAACTGTCAGTTTACCTGCTCAACAACAACTCTGGGAAAAAGTGCACGAACTAGGCCACTTCGAGACGTGTATAACGAGCGGAGACGGCAACACATTTACACGCGATCAGATCGCGTGCACCCTGCGAAGAATGCTTATCGTCGTCATCACCAACACGTACCCGCCGCGCGAAGTCCTTCTACCAAAAGGCCCATTTTTTGCAGCTCATTTCTTTGTCGCAATATCTGTCCCATGATTCGATCTCCCTAAACTCACAAGCTATACATCGTCACACATATTGTCGCACTCACCAGATGCCGCCTTCCCGGATGCACTTGCTTTATTCCTTTCAGTGCTCCTGCTACCCTCACCAGATTCCGTCCAGTGAGATTCTTATATCGTTCATTCTTGCGTAACGCTTCTGTTCTGAACACATTAGAGTTTCACGATGGTGATGAGAAAAACATATTTCACGACTACTGCATATCTCCGCGAATATCGCGTTTTCCACCGAGTATTACGCCACTTCACGTAAAACGGGTTGTGAAACTCCATTGAAAAGCGGTGTAATACTCCATGTGAAAATCGCGATATTCGCTGTATGAAGTGAATCGAAAACACTTGGCGAATTACAGCGGACACTGCCAGGTGACAGAACATGGTGCCCAGTACCGTGCGTGATCAGCACAGTACGAGTACCCGGATAACTTCTGTCCGGGTACTCCTACTGTACTGATCTATCCACCCAGCAGATCACCTTATACCTCCTAATAGTAATGGAGTTTCACAACCCGTTTTACGCGAAGTGAAATGTGTTTTTCACATCACAGGTGAAACTCCAATAATACAGCTACAGCCCTAATAGAGCAAGCTACCAATACATAGAAATCAAAATAGGACAGATTAACTGTTTCTCCGAGCCAGCACGAAATAAGGCTGTTTATACCACGTAAAACACATACCACGTGTTTTACGCGTTATTCACAGCTAACATGCGTTTTTCGCAAAGTGAAATGTAAAATATGTTTTTTCACTAGCATTTTTCATATCCCTTGTGAACGTTAACTCCCGAGTCCAGATCAAACTCTTCCATTTTTCCAACGATCGCATCCAACTGCGCACATTTTTCCACGCTGAACTCACATTGCTTTAGCAGCATCATTGCTCCTGAGTAGTCTCAACACCGACATACTCCAAATCAGCCGACCCAACTGAACGTTCGTCAAGCGGTCGAATCTCTCAGGGTCTTCGATGAAGTAATTCAAAATTCTGAAAACGAACATAATACAGAAACAACGAACGATTATCGTTGGGTAAATTACGTAACCTCATTTTTCAAGTGTCACCAGTATCAGTGGAGTTTCAAAACCCGTTTTACGTGAAGTGGCGAAAAACGCGGTGATATGCAGCAGTCGTAAAATATATTTTTCATATCACGGTCGTGAAACTCCAATAATACATGATATCACACATTGCCAGTATTGTGTTGTAGTGTGAACCATATCTTTATGCGAAGTAATATTTTCAACGCTTTAAATTTCCCAACGTTCGAATGTCAACTTTTGATGACAATGCCAATCGATTGAGAACATTCCTGAAACATTTCGCACTCTTTGAAATTGAATAACGCTGCCCGTAAGATATCGCTCAAAATGAAGCCATCGAGGAAATCAAAACTCTACTCTGGAGGAGTTACCTCACTGGCACTCCGCGTTTAACGAGCTCTTCACACTTCCGTTTGGGTATGTGATGAACAGCACACTCTGCGAAGGCCTATATAACAACGAAAATTCACGACCGTGATACGAAAAACACATTTCATATTTCAAAACGCATGATCTCTGGTGTAAATCGTCAAGTATTTGCGTTTTTCACATGGAGTAAGACACCACTTCACGAAAGCGGCGTGAAACTCCAATGATCATACTCCTTCGATTTGGAGTAGCACGAACAAATACAGAAAGTGAGTTAGACTAGAACCGACTGAGAAAGTTTGAGGAAAATCGGATTCTCTTTACCTACACAGTGTTGGAGTAGGAATACATGTAATCGCTTGCCTCAGCTGAGCTCAGGAGTTTCCTATGCAGTGTTGGAGTAGGAATATATGTAATCGCTTGCCTCAGCTGAGCTCAGGAGTTTCCTATGCAGTGTTGGAGTAGGAATGTATGCTCTCTTTCCTCAGCTGAGCTCAGGAGTTTCCTACACAGTGTTGGAGTAGGAATATATGTAATCGCTTTCCTCAGCTGCTGAGCTCGGGAGTTTCCTACACAGCGTTGGAGTAGGAATATATGTAATCGCTTGCCTCAGCTGAGCTCAGGAGTTTCCTATGCAGTGTTGGAGTAGGAATGTATGCTCTCTTTCCTCAGCTGAGCTCAGGAGTTTCCTATACAGTGTTGGAGTAGGAATATATGTAATCGCTTTCCTCAGCTGCTGAGCTCGGGAGTTTCCTACACAGCGTTGGAGTAGGAATATATGTAATCGATTTCCTCAGCTGAGCTCAGGAGTTTCCTATGCAGTGTTGGAGTAGGAATGTATGCTCTCTTCCCTCAGCTGAGCTCAGGAGTTTCCAATACAGTGTTGGAGTAGGAATATATGTAATCGCTTTCCTCAGCTGCTGAGCTCAGGAGTTTCCTATACAGTGTTGGAGTAGGAATATATGTAATCGCTTTCCTCAGCTGAGCTCAGGAGTTTCCTATACAGTGTTGGAGTAGGAATATATGTAATCGCTTTCCTCAGCTGCTGAGCTCAGGAGTCTCCTATACAGTGTTGGAGTAGGAATATATGTAGTCGCTTTCCTCAGTTGCTGAGCTCAGGAGTTTCCTATACAGTGTTGGAGTAGGAATATATGTAATCGCTTTCCTCAGTTGCTGAGCTCAGGAGTTTCCTATACAGTGTTGGAGTAGGAATACATGCTATTTTTCCTTAGCTGAGCTCATGAGCTCAAAAAGTTAATCATGGGAGTTTATATACAAATTCAGGTAGAAATATACAGGAACCAACACGACGAATTCCCCAGAATTGTCACCAACACATGCACTTGTCCATGTTCATATTTTTCCACAACATTGGAGTTTCGCCCGTTTTACGTGAAGTGGCGATATGCAGTAGTCGTGAAATGTGTTTAACATATCACGGTCGTTAAATTCCATTGCACTTACGTAAGTCAAATCGCACATGTCGAATACGCGACGACTGGGCGTCTGCTCATCCACCAGCATTCCAGTCGAATCCAGCAGATCGCCGGCTTCGGTCAGTGTTCGCTTCCACAACGAATAGTGTACTGCAAATAGGAGCAAGTCACTCTGGCTAGACTACAGAACGATAGAGCAATCTCACACAGACAAAGTCTTCTTATGATGCGCTTGCGACAAGCACTTCATAACACATGCAATGACCCGCGATCAGACTGAGCGTATTATCTACCATAGTCGTTGGTATAGACAATATGCAGTGTCGTGGTCTGAATTTTCAGTTATTTTTCTGACACCCTGGGCAAACCGGTCATTCTAGGTCCTCACTCTAGGAGTAACCATCGAGGAACACATGCCTCCCCTCCCCCTTTTTGGGATGTGTGTGAGCGCCAGTGTGGGAAAAATATGCGTTCACGGAAATTCTGAGGAAATTTTTTTCGGAATTTTTTTTAATTTTTATACACTTCTACCCGTCGAGCTCGTACGACTAAAAAAACTTTAGCAAAATTTTCCATAATTTTTTCCTCGGGATTTTTACATTGTCACAAACACACGTTGTGGAGCATGTGCGAATTTTCCCATACTAGTGAGAGCACCAGTATTATTCCGTAAATATATGAATTTTACTTTTCTCAGTTCACTTTGTTGCCTACCGTTATTCGCTCCTTTTTCCGATGTAGTATTATCCTTCTTCACACACTCCGGGCAATACTTTAACCATTCAATGGGTATTCGCTTATTAGTACTAAACAACAACACATGGTCGTAGTGGTCATTCTAAGAACCCCTACATGTCCTCTCGAGGAGCTGCGACTGTGGAATAGACTCGCAAGAAGGTCCGTCGTGTGGAGGGAAGCATCGTCAGGCTTCGTACAGTGATCCTATGCACTGGTGAGGACATTTTACAGGAACTACACCTTTTTAATCTCAAACTCAGCAATTGAATGAACAAATTTGACGAAAGAAATGTAGTTGACACGAAGTCCCGATGATATCGTGTACGTTTCCCTCATGGAGTTTCGAAACCCGTTTTACGTGAAGTGGTGTAAAACTCGGTGAAAAACGCGATATTCGCGGTGATATGCAGTAGTCGAGAAATGTGTTTTTCATATCACGATCGTGAAACTCCATTGTTGTTGTGGTTATTCCCGACGTCGTTGGAGTTTGCAAAGCTCCATTGTTCGTTAGTTCGCGCATCTTCTGTGGGTTCGCTGATTCCTCCAATAGTTCACCAACGACTACATCAGTTGAGCTCTCAAGGCACATATCATGTGGAATGTCGTCGCTCACGTATCTTGCATGAGAATTTCAAATTGCTACTAACCCACTGTGGGCTCCATTTGAAACCGACAGGCAAAATTTCCGGGGTGTTCAGAGAATTCCGCCGGAATCCATTCAAGACAGTCAAATTGCATGAAAATTGCAGTAAGCGCGCAGCTTTATTTGGGGCGATGTTCAATAGACCTCTCCGTGAGTTCCCAAGATCGAGTTTTACATGTGATGTCTAATTCTGGGTGGGCTCTTGAAGGTCTATTAAACACGCCGACTGATATACTTTCAACGGCTCCATGTGAAACCATCAGCGTGTTCAATTTCACCTGTCCTGAGAGTTTTTAGGGCGCTCCTAGAATCGAGTTTTACACGTGCAATGCAATCCTGGAAGCGAAAAGAGGTCTATGGAAGACACAGCATCAGCAGGTGTCAGTCGAACTACATGAAAGCTGCAATTTGAAAAGAGCTCCCTACTCACGTTGCTGCGACATTCTATTGTTGCCTCATGGAGTTGCTTCGCTCATAGTTGCCTGAAATGGCAGTGTTGGAATATATGTTCGCTTTCCTCAGCTGAGTGTAGGAGTTCCCTCACTAATTATAGGAGTTTGTATACGAAATCGGGTAGAAATTTACAGAAACCAACCATAATTTCCACATAATTTTCGTATTGCCACCATATTATGTGATTGCCTATGTGCATATTTTCCCACACTGGGGAGTGGGAAAATACGACCTATCTGAGCGCTGTGCCCTCATCAAAGGGCCAACACGAACGCGTACGCGGCGAACATGAAGAAATGCGCTCCTCTCACCTAGTTGGGATTAAAATACGAGGAGTGTAAGCAGTAACACAATCCCCACAATCGAGGGGTTGTAGTTTTAAATCATATAGCTTTTTGTGGTATATAATAGTATTCTTGTAATCTGACCTCATCCCTTCTCTCGGGCATGTCGATGATCAAGCTCCTGATAGGACCTAGGGAATGATCGCTTGTATTCTGAGCTGTGGGAACGGTCCTCGCCGGGGTCAATCAGTGATAGGTTGTAGCACCTTTCCAACGCCCGAAAACACCCCGTAATACGCTTTCTTTATAAGGCACGTCGATGGCTCGGGAGGAATTATTTCATCGACTTCATGTTGTTACTAAGCTTGCGGAGAGGCCCTTTTGCCAGTGGACCTTCTTCCATTTCACGGCTTCGATGATGGCATGGGCGATTCAAAAAAGGTGTATTTGGATGAGTTATCTAGCTATGCTCCTCTCACAGATAAAAATCTCACGAAAGAGAGCATCAAGTTGATGCCATCAACATACGTCAACCCTGCATTCTTGACAACAACTTTATATAGACTACTGCGGTTCTATCGGACACGACGCGGAAGTCCTTAGTAGTTATCTCCATCGCATATCAATGAGCAGAGAGACGACGATATTCCCCTGCCGAACGAGCCCAACGGAACCTGATGTTCTGGTGGCGTGCTCACAATCGTCTCGTGGTGATGCACGGAGAGCAATTCCTAGTAGGTTTGGTTGGATTATCGTCATTGACACTTGCACAGAGAGTCGCCATCGCTGAGGATCTATCATCAGGGCGGTCTGGAGAAACGTCCAGTACGAATAGAGATGGAGCAAATTTGGTCAAGGAAGCATGCAGGAAACTGGGAAAGAGCTTAGAAGGTTAGTGAACCAGAATTCTCGATGGATAGAGAGAATACGAATCGCATTATACGTTGGGAAAACATAGCTTTCGAGCTATACTTCAACTCACCAGATGTACGACTATGCGACTGAATGACCAGTTTTATATGTAGAGCTTCTCGATAGAACGCCGGGCAGCCGCCGAGACGCGGGTCCTTGGTGACCCCAATGTCTTGCTGTTACGCGCAAACTCAACGGTGATCAATGAGGTGTGGATAAGTAGGTTAACAGAGGACAAGACAAGAAACGACACTTGGGTTGGCTATAGAGAATCGAATGTACTGGAGATAGAGATTGTACAAATCTTTATTTCGGAAGGCCGCCTTAAAGAGGGCCTCTTCGAGCTCTCAAGCACGAAGCGACTGGATCTTTGCTAATTCGATTCCGAAAGGCTGCCGTGATAACCTAAATTAGATCTTCACTCTTCTTCAGCGTACGTCCTTAGCGTTTAGAAATATCTGTCTTTACGGCGGTAGGGAGGGCGAAACCTCTTTTCTACTCCTCTCGTACAGCTGAGGAGTCGGGTTTCCATTCAAGCAGCTCCTCGGGGTTGTATCACGAGTATCACTTAAACATGATACTTGACGTATCGGAGTATGATGCACCTAGAACCCTAGAGATAGTGCAAACAGAGCAGAGACAAGCAAGACGAAGAAGAAAAACGCGTGCTCTACTCTTGGGCTCCGTTCCCTCATCCATCTGCTATCTAGGAGCTAGTACTGGAGGAGGGAACTCGAATACCGCGTGCAGAACTACCCTATTTATGGAATCTCTGGGGCCGGTATGCCACGCATTCTGTGGGTCTCCAAGTTCCACGACATGATTTGGTTCTTCTATGGGGCCGATATGCCACGCATTCTGCGGGTTTCGAAACTCCACAACATGATCCGATTCTTTTATGGGGTGGGTATGCCACGCATTCTGTGGGTTTCAAAGTTCCACAACATGATTCGAGTCTCTTATGGGGCGGGTATGCCACGCATTCTGTGGGTTTCAAAACTCCACAACATGATTCGATTCTTTTATGGGGCCGATATGCCACGCATTCTGTGGGTTTGAGAACTCCATAACATGATTCGATTCTTTTATGGGGCCGATATGCCACGCATTCTGTGGGTTTCAGAACTCTACAACATGATCCGATTCTTTTATGGGGCCGATATGCCACGCATTCTGTGGGTTTCAGAACTCTACAACATGATTCGATTCTTTTATGGGGCCGATATGCCACGCATTCTGTGGGTTTCAGAACTCCACAACATGATCCGATTCTCCTATGGGGCCGATATGCCACACGTTCTATCTTCCCCTATCCACAGTGTGCTGTGATCTTAGTAGCGATAGCATCACTACTCGGGCCACTTGGGCTTATGCCTCCACTCTTCGATACTGTCTCGTTTGTTAGAGGAGACGAAATGGCAACGATATTTCAAAGAACAATGGCTTGATGGTCGCGGGACATTAGCGAACCTGTCGGAAAAGGAATGGGAGAAACTGGACATCCCAATCGGCCTTCGCGCCGAGTTGCGCAAGTGCAAATGTTTGAGCCTCATAGCCTCAGACAAGGGTTTTCAGGCTGGTGTCGGAACCTAATAAACCTGTTCGGATCGGGAAGCAATCACACGCCTCATCAGGTGAGCGATGTAACCACTACAATCCGCAATTGCACCTTAGACCAGTGTTGCTAGCGCCACACAAATGTGGATTCAGGTTCGAAGGAATCTTTTGCGAACGGCAGGCTTGGCGGGTAACTCGGCATTGGTTGCCCAGACTCGAGAGGTATCTCACATTGAGTCTAGGCAATCAGGTTCAGGAACTTCGAGTCGCCGGGTTGGGGAGGTGTTGATTTCTCTAATAAACTCACCGAGATGCACAACAAGAAGGAAATGAATGTCAGCATGTCAGCTCCAATGCATTTCCCCGTATCTGTGGGGTATCTGTGATTGGACTGGGGGCGTAGCTCCGTCGTGATCCTGCGACTCCCCTATTTAGACGTTGTGATGGTCCGTTTAGCGACCGCCACTTTCTCAAGGCCTTCAATATATATGGTGTATACTACACTGCGACCTGATCTATTCACGTCAATAGTCATTCAGGCAATTCTAGAGGAGTTCCGCAACAAGCTGAAATCGCGGAAGCCAGGAGATATCTATAGCCTAGGCAGATTGTTCCGCAGACTCGACGACGACGGAGACCGGAAAGTGAGGACGAGTCTGTAGCCAGCTGCTTCAACAAACGAAATGCAATCGAATTTGGTCGTTCATTTGAAATGGATCACTTCGCGAAAGTCCGCAACTGGAGTGACCTCAGACTCTCGAGTTGAGAGTCACGAGTTCGGCATCTCCGAATAACTTCACAAAAGTACTCCGACCCTTCTGCTTGATCCGTCAGTTGAATAACCACGAGTTTGAGAAGCTCCTTCGAGAAATCGGCATTCGCAATCAGCAGGTGTGCGCGCTACTTTTCCAGCGCTTTGACACTGACTCATCCGGCACAATTGACTATGATGAATTCATCAGGGCCATTCGTGGTGAGTTCGTTCGAATCATGTATACCGGGACTTTATGAGTCATAAATTATGACTGCCTCCTCGAGAATGCTTTATATACCGCATTTGTGATGGAAGTGTCCAATCGGACGTTTATAGTCTCTGTTCAGATGGGATTACTGGGTGTTTTCGTTTTTACAAAACAGATGAACGATGAAAATCCACACCGGAGAAATTGCTAGTTTAACTAGCTCGTATCGATCAGCGACGATATCTATATCAGTACTGATCAGGCAAGATGAGCAACCGTCGGAGAGAGGCAGCCGCGGCTGTTTTCGACCATCTCGATTCTAATGGAGATGGATTGCTGACTTCAGAGGATGTCAATTGTGTCAACCCATCGAATCATCCCGATGTAAACATGCGAGAACATTTTCTCGGGACTATGTTGAAAAGGCTCATTGGTCATCATTTACAGGTTAAAGCTGGCATCAGGCGTCCAGAGCATATCTTCGCCGAAGTTATGCAAGTTTTTGACGCTAATGACGATGGAAGAGTGTCCCTTGAAGAATGGCTTGAGTGAGTTGGTTTGATGATTATCGACTTATTAGCTGCCGCTTCTGAAGTCCAAATTTTTACATAGGCAAAGCATTGTTGATGCAGCATGAAAGCCTGGTTCCACTGAAAGATAGCTGAAAGTCTGACGAAAGCATCGTTACGCTTCCCTCTGCAGCGGAGAACTACCGGCTGAACATGTGACAGATATTATTCGTTGAACCGTTTAACTTCACCGTACTCTTCTGTTTTCACTTACATACTCGGGAGATGGGGAGAGTAGCGTACAGCTCGGGTTTAGTCCAAAATGAAATGCTCCGTTTTTCGGAATGGAAGCGAGTCGCTTCAAGCGACCTACCTAAGATGTCTAATCATTGAACAACAGTTTCTCGCGAGTAATTTACTTAGGCTACTGTGTCAGGTATTATGAGGCTGTTAGCGCTTCTATTGATGACGATGAGATTTTCATTCATATGTTGAAGAACGTCTGGAAGATGCCCGGGTCGGATGGAGACATGGCCGACAAATATCGTGCACGCATGCTTATGGAGTATCCCACTGGCTTGTGGTGACTCACCGCGAGTAGCCGCCTCCCATTGGTCAGCTCAACGTTTTCGGGTGGATGACTATTATGTTGGTGCTTCTTTTCATAGAATGACATGTTTTGCATGATCGGTCTCGAGTTGTTCTTTGGGCATAGTTGTGAGTATTAGCAGAGTCAATACAGTAGCCCACCTGACGCACATCGGTTCAATCAAACACGGGACATGCATCAATGCATCGCGCACGTGACTTCATCAGTGTGACTGATCACACGAGACGGGTAGATAGATAACCCTTACATCGAAATTCGAGGTCGCCATCCACTTGGTAACCCTTCACATCGAATTCAAGGATCGACCATGAAAGGACACTCTACCATGTGGGAGGGATGTGCACAAGGCACGATGGAGAGAAGAACTTGTATGCTCTAGTGAGTAGTAGCGATGGTGATTACTCAGCGAACGATTCAATTTGTGTTGAGGCCGTATAACAAAGTTACAATCTTGTGTCTTTCCTTGTGCTACGGGAAGCAACTCCGTGATGCGGAGAACAAATGTAGCATCAGTCGTATCATATTCGGTATTGGTTTCACGTAGACTAGGAATTAAAGAATGGAGACCGAGTCGTACTACTGAACGAGAGAGTCAACGCATCAGATAGCATTCTAACATCCCTGATATGCTTCTCTGAGTGAGACCTAGTCTATTTCCGAGTATGATGCCCCTTGGGTCGAGCATCTCACTATGTTCTCCTGCCTGCATCGCGGTACCAAAACGGTATAACTTATACCCTATAAGAACCCACTCCCAGCGAGAATTGAACCCGGGACGCTCAACTTGTAGAGGTTATCACTAACCACTAGAGATAATGCGCTATATCTTAGACATTTGAATGTTTTAGGCCACACCGGTGAGATTTGATGACAGTCATTGAAGCGTCCCAATTAACAAAATCTAACAGTTTCATCCCGCCCGTGAGTGCTTCAATTGCGCCCTCGATGCCGTTTGGAGCATGATAGGCTCTCGCCGCTCACATTTGTACATGCTGAGGCGAACTCCTTCAAGAAGATAATCTGAGTTTGTAAGAGTATTCTAAAGGAAGTCTTTGTGTAGGTTTTCCAGTTTTCCATCGGCCTCTCGCCTTCGACCATGTCCGAGTGGTCTCCTCGCGCTGATGAGACCGGTTCAAGCGTTGACAGCGATAACGATTATGAAACCTTCGTGGATTCTCTGCGACAGCAGTCCATCGGCGAGAACGAGAGGGTCACTGTTCCTTACGATGGTTCCTCGAGAAAGCTTGTGTATGGATTAGGCCTGAAATTGCAATCATTCTTCGTCTAGGTACTGCGATTTCACCGCATCAGGCCGTAGTGTGTCTGCCATCGAGGAGTTCATTACCGCCACTGTGTGCCCCACGTGAGTGTCCACTTCTTCTGAGCAAAGTGGATTATTAGCTTCCCGTAGATACGCCAACACTCACTCGCTGGCCTCCGCAACTGCACGTCAAACGATGCACTACCGCGAAGAGGCCCGAGACAAAGTTCGCGAATATTTCAACTGCACTACGGATGACTCTGGTGAGCTATCGCACGAGTTAATAAGTTGTGATGCGCCGTTGCTCAGTTATTTTCTGCGGCGCTGGGGCTACAGGGGCCATCACTAAGTTTGTCGATATCATGTGCCGTAGTCGGGTCTTCGCTACTCCGACATCACGAAAGGGACGCCGTCGTGCGGTAAGTGTTGGAGGAATATAAGTTCACTTCCCTCAGCTTCGCTCACGAGTTTTCTCACTGAGTTAAGAAGTTAACACTAACAAACTCGAGTAGAAATGTACATTAACCAATGAGAATTTCCGAAAATTTCCTCGGAATTTCTATGTTGTCATCGACACATGTAGTTGGCCGTGTGCATACTCTTTTCACACTGTGCGGTGAAGTCGTCGCATTTACTCGCACCAGACTGGCTTACCATTCTGTAGGTTCTGATAATCGATCCTGTTGCCCACCATAGTTCAGTCCTGCCATTCCGGGAATTGGCTTTGAGATATCCGCTTGCCCACATTACTCGTTCGAGAGCTGGTGAGCTCGACGATCCATCGTTCTAGCACTGTTGTATTTCTCAGTACCGGGATCTTTCGTCAAGCGGTTCAGCGGGGACAAGTCTGCAGAAGTTGAAGTCGAGCTAGTTGTGCGAAATTCTACTTTCATTCAGCACTACTTTCATCGCTTCAGACTCTCCCTCTGGATTCAATTAAAGGAACTGCCTCGATAAACGGTTTGGAAGAAGTCTTGAAGAAAGTCAGCTGCTGGTGAGAGTCTTCCGTGCTGATGATTATTGTCAGGTTGCGGCCTTTAATCGTCATCATCATGATTTCGCTGTCCCCGTGGTCATCTTGTCCGCATGTAGCAACGTCACGGGTGCACGACTCGATGTATTTTACATCCTATCCTGGCGTGTTATACTGCCTTGGTTCAGATCCCAACTGTGTCAACTTTGATTCATCAATACGACGGAATAGCAGCATGGGACTTGGCGGCTATCGCTGCCCACAACAAGGTGCCGATCTTCTCAAGGTGACCAGACCCATCAGATGCTGCTTAGGTTGATATGAATTCTCCTTCTCACCCTAACGGTTACATGGACTTCGCTTTTGTATCCCCTCATAAGCTTCTCGGTGGCCCCGGCAGTAGCGGTCTTCTGCTGTGCAAGAAGAAGCATCAGACCAATGCCGTGCCCGCAGTATGTGGTGGAGGAGTTGTTCTTTACGTTAGTCGGCGCGGCCATCACTATCTTGGCAATTTGGAGGAACGAGAGGAAGCCGGTGAGCTGCAACTTGTATCTCTCTCCCGCTACGTTGAACCGCTTTAGGCACTCCGGACATCCTCGGGTGTATTAGAACCGGTGCCATTTACCACTTGCACAGAATGGTTGGAATAGAAAGAATCGCTTCTTCCGAGCAGAGAATGGCCGACCATCTCGCCCATAGGATCAGAGCCCACAGCAAGGTTCATATTGTCGGTCCCAAGGTGAGTTGAAATGTTCATCGTTGTCGTCATAGTTCTTCAAGGATCGATCTCACTGTGCTGGCATCATTTCCTTCAACGTTCTATATAACGAGACGGATACTGCGGCGAAGCATGGATTGTACGGAGCTGAGCTTCTACGGTGCTGTGACGTTACTTCAGGTATCTGCATTACAATTTCGTTGGAGCTGTGTTGAACGATGTGTTCGGAATTCAAGCACGAGGAGGGTGCGCCTGCGCAGGTCCTTATGGCGAGGCTCTCCTCGGCCTCAACTGCGGCAGTGCTGAAAGGTTCGAGGAAGCTCTTGGTATGTTGCTCGTCATGCGTCGGTTTAAGGCGCTCTTTCTCAGATGATACGCGCTATGAGATCTTCAAGCCTGGCTTTGTCCGAGTGGGGGTACACTTCACGATGACTCAAGAAGAAGTTGATTTCGTTGCTGATGCGATACTGTGGATAGCCGATAATGGCTGGAAGCTACTCCCTTCTTACACCTACAAGATCATGTCGGGCGAGTGGTATCATATTAAGAGAGACTCGCATCAGATGGTGAAGTAGGGTCTTCGACACAAGTCATCAATCACATATGTCTGTTCAGGAAACTATCTGACGCGCTGAGCCCAGCCGCTTTCTTGATCAAGCCTGATGACAGCTCTCTCGGCAACGGGTCGACCAGACATAGCACGGGTTCTTCGCGTCGTCTGAGCACGTCGACTACTGGAAGGCACAGTGAAGACTACGGCGATGAGGGTTTGCACGCTGCCATTCGTAAAGCCGATGAGCTGTGTGCTGTTGTGGTGGACGAAGTGAACTTGTTTATGCTGCCGGCGCGTTTTGTATGGTCTCCCTGTTAGGCTCGCAGAATCAAGCTAGAGCTGCCACTGCTCGATCCGGAAGTCGCCGACCTTCTGTGGTTCGCGCATCCTATTGATACCAAGTGGTCAATAGTCCAATCGTTAACCACTGGTCATACACTTGTTCCGCAAGTTTGTGTTGACCCGCAGTGCTCCGAGATTTTCGAAGTTGCTAGTATTCGCGGGAAGAAGCGTCTCAGGTGGTTTATTTGTATCTGTTGGTCATTGTATTATTCGTTCAGGCCTGAGGAGAGTATATTCAATATTCGATGTTGGAGTGACGGAGTGGAGCCACCAGAGGGTGCAAGAGAGGTGACAAGGAGTGCTACGCCAGTGTTATAGAAAGCAGCGTTTTGTTTAGGCTGCTCGTAATCGTCAATCAATGGCGAAGATGATGTTGAAGATGATGTGGCTCAAAGTTACTTGCCGCGAGAAGCCTCTAGCTCCTCTCGAGAGACGCCCGATTATGTTTGCAAGATAGTGCAAGTCAGTCCGTGCGAATCCTGTTGTATCACCACCCATCTACATCGTTCGTCTTATCTGTTACTAACCTCAAGTGATTACTATATTATCACTAGTCTTATTAACTGTGGTTACTTTGATCGAATAATCTTCGATCGTCTCGAACTACTGTCTATGTCGGGCTGACTTGTACGATTTTGCTTGTCGCTGTAATCAGAAGGAATAGTCGTTATGACTTTGTGTCTCACCGTGTTCTCATACGAACATGGAAAAGTTACGTCTCTGTTCTTGACAATCTTCAGTATATAAATATACATAATTAGTAAGTGCGTGAGTGATATCTGATTTGCTTGCGACGAATCAACTACTCGTCACATGTGTTGATTTGGTATTATTTATTACCCTGCTAGTTTGATATGATGAAATTTGATGAATCTTACTACTGAAAAGAGCTGCTAAATATGATTGAGAGCTCGTTGACATGATTTAGAACCATGAACTCTGCTATTTATTTGACATTTCCTATTATAGTGTGATATCCACCATATGCAATTTCCATTCTTGAGCAGAGTGTCTCAAGTATCTACATCTCTTCCATTTTTATAGATAGGATGTGCAAGAAGAGTTGAGTTGCTGAGCAATCCTAGTTGGGAATTAGTTGCCCCGAAAAATTCGTCGTCAATTACGCTGTTAACTCTACTCTCAAGGACGTTGGTGAGTAAAGAGTTAAAGGAAAAATTCACTAGCTAGAGATTGAAGCGAGGAAATTGTACAGAGATTTTTCCGCGAAGAACTTCTGCAAATTGCGGAGTGATCGCTCGGAACTTCGGTCCTGCGAATGTCACCAACGCACAATCTCTGCTACGGTACACGGCTACGCTCTCTGTACGACAATGGTCTCCACTCATGCAGCGTGGGAAGTTCCCGGCTTCCCCATCACCAACGGAAATGGCTATGCCACGATACAATTTGTATCATACAACTCTAGCATGAAACACTATCAACAGAAAGCAACTAGCGCACGAGACGAAATATCGTCTCATACCACACGATTAACTGAAAACTTTATTTGCGTGGAATCTTACCTACCAGAAGAGCTAGCGACCGAGTGTCAGCAAACTCTTAGTAGAGGGGAATTCTTAGAATCGAAGACAGATGACCAAAATCGAGGGAAAATTTTTCGCTCACTCGCGCTGGCCAAAATCCAAGAGCTCGGGCCGAAATCCAAGGCACGCCCTGCGCTATTTCTGGAGACAGCGACTTGGATTTAGTCCTTTACCTCGAATTCTGGTCAGGTGCCCTGGATTCTGTCTACACCTTTTGAACACCTTGTTCGTTTGTGGAACCATCAATTTCGTCGGAACGCGCGAAGTTGAAGGTACGGACCCGAATTGGAAAGATCATATTCGCAATTAGAACCTCCAAATTCGTCTGAAGTCGGTAGGAAGTTCAAGTTCGTTTGAATAGAATTTTCAATTTCGACTTTCACTCCCGAGTCGGAGGGGCTACCTCCACAACTGGGACAGTAGGATAAGGCGTAGCGACTATTTTTGTGGCGCGTGAGGGTAACGACTATTCGTGATATGCATTCCTCAAGCGACTCTTCTCGGCTTCGAGAGCGTGCCCAGGATCGAGCTCGTCGTCATGTGAAATCAAATCCTGGGAATGCTCTTGAAGTCAGCTCCCCGAACTCCCAGTTCAATTTGAACGAACCTCAACACTTCGAAAGGAATGTCACTTATAGATGGTAGTCACAATCAACAAGAACGTGCATAGTAACTAATTCAGCACACAATCTTTCGAGAGTGATTCAACTACTACTTGTTGGTGATGCCTTGTGGTGATATCAAGACCAGTGTCGGAATATAATACACCCGAGCTCATGAGTTTCTTCACTAATTATCGAAGTTAACATACGAATTGGAGTAGAAACCTCAGAATTTTCATTTCATCACCAATATAGTGACTGCGAGTATTTTCAGTTGGTTTTTTTACAAGTTTCTTCACTAATTATCGAAGTTTTACATACGAATTTGCCTCGAAACCAATGGGAATTTCCCTCAAAATTTTCTCAGAATTTTCATTTTGTCACCAACACAGTGACTGCGAGTATTTCAATTGGTTTTTCACCCCCTACATGTGCACCATCAGCTCAGATCAGTCTCGTATGCCCGTACTAGTCGGTATGGGCAATCCTCTATTGGATATCTCCGTCAACACTGATGCTGAGATCCTCGATAGGTCCTCGAGCTCGTCTCTCTTCATCACTTTGATGATGCTGATTCAGATACAAGCTCCAGCCGAACAATGCCATTTTAGCCGACGATTCGCACATACCACTCTACCCCGAAGTGACCAAAATGTCCGGGGTAAGCACTCATTCAAATATGTGTTTGCTTTCCTCAGCTGAGCTCAGGTGTTTATTTCAGACTTCGGTTAGAAATGTTCAGAACCCAACAAGAATTTCCCGCAAAAATTTTCTCGGAATTTTCATATTTTTACCAACGTATGTAGTTGACCATGTGTATATTTTCCCACTATTTCTCATAGGAATCAAGATGAATTTCCCGCGAAAATTTTCCCAGAATTTTTTAATTATATTGCCCATGTATATATTTTCCCCTCACACTGTTTTTCGATCCGTATGTAGGTGGAATATATAGCCGGCGGAGCGACGCAGAATTCTATGAGAGTTGCCCAGTGGATGCTTGGTGGCCGAGGTGATGCTGCATTCATTGGATGTGTTGGAAATGATCAGTAAGTTGCCTACTCATTAAAATGTTACAATATGTGAGGACCCTTGAAGGTGTCTCCTTATAATAGGCGTAGATTCATTCAATGGAGTTTCACGACCGTGATATGAAAAACACTAGTGGAAAACATATTCCACGACTGTTGCATATAGCGAATGCCGCGTTTTCACCGAGTTTCACGCCACTTCACGTAAAACGGGTGAAACTCCAATATGTGAGGACCCTCGAAGGTGTCTTCTTATAATAGGCGTAGATTCATTCAATATGTAAGGAGTCTCGAAGACCTGTATTTCATCAAGTTTTTTTGAAGCACTTGTAGAATTTTATTATCATTTTGTTCTTTTTTCAACTTGGTAATTTCCTGATGATCGAAATTATTACTTGATTTCACTCAGATTTTGTTTCTCCTGTTTTTTTACGGTTTCTCAATCAGTTACGCGAAAATCATGCAAGAGAACTGCCAGAAGGCCGGAGTGATCACTCGATATCTCGTTGATGAATCTACACCCACTGGGACTTGCGCTGTTTTGGTCACTCACGAAGGTGAAATTTTTCGCCAACTATTTTTAACTATTTGTTCTTCAGGGCAAATGCGTTCGTTGGTCGCTAATTTGTCTGCTGCTATCAAATATGATCACATTCACATTCACGATGCTGAGAATTGGAAACTTATTGAGCACGCACGTAAGCTGACATAGGTGGCTCTACTTTACCCGTGATATGAAAAACCCTAGTGAAAAAATATATTTCACGACTACTACAGGCTGCGAATATGGCGTTTTTCATAGAGTATTACGCCACTTTACGTAAAACGGGTTTCGAAACTCCAATGTTAAATATGATAATGTAAATTACGTTGACATGGTTATAACATCGCAAGGTTTATGAATGATATTTTGTATTATAAAGCCTAGGTTCATCACAAATTATATATTACCAATATTAAGTGTAGTGTTATTCAACTGGAAAGATTTTGGGCATTTTATAGCTTTCGAAGTTGGTGTTGAGTATTTCCGTATATTTGATGGATAATGCCTATATCTGTTGATTTATATATATTATATATTAACTGTTGCCTATCCATTGATAATTATAATATAGTGGAGTTTTACCCGTTTTACGTGAAGTGGTGTAAAACTCTGTGAAAAACGCAGTAGTCGTGAAATATGTTTTTCCTGGTGTTTTTCATATGACGGTTGTGAAACTCCAATAATTATTCTAATATAGTTATGTTCATGAATATATAATATTTCATAGAAAAATGGTTTTATAATGAAGTTTCATGATATTTCGAAACGTCATTTTCCGACGATTATGTGAACTCATCCGTTTATCAATTTTACACCGAATTTTACTAGTGTTCTGTGATTGTCTGGGAGGTTGATAGATAGCGTTTCCCAGGGTTTGATAACAGTGGGGGCAAATGCTGTTTCTCATTTGACGCTTACAATGTAAATATTATTCAGCTTTACAAGAATTACACGTAAATTTCATATGGGAAACTTTTAGTTGGAGTATGTGTTGCTGATCACCATGTGGAAAATTCCAGAAACCGTTTCCTAGATGATTCTCTGTTCATATCGAACGTTCTTACTGATTCTCGTGTAGTGGGAAAATGCTTCTTATGTGACGACATTCACATTAGAAAAGAATTGAAGAATTTGTTCCTAGCCATGTGGAAATTTCCGAATGAGATTCCCGAACGTTTCTCCAAATTTTGGTGGGAATCTTTGATTTTTGTGTGTTGTTTTATGCAGGTGTTATCTATTCTGCCGGGTTCTTCGTTGCTGTATCACCCAAGGCTATCGAAATGGTATCTAATAAAACTATTGAGACCGGCGCGTTATATTGTATGAACGTTGCGGCCCCGTACATTGTGGAAGTACCCGAGTTCAGGAAGGTCAGTATGGGATAATATGTGTATGGTTGAGTACATGAAAATTGCGGGGAAAATTTGGGGAAAAATCTCATTGGTTTCTGTAAATTTTAACCTGGATTCGTATGAGAGAAATAAGTGAGAAAAATATGTTTATGGTTGACTACATGTGTTGTTGAAAATATGAAAATTGTGAGGAAATTTTGGGGAAAAAATTTAATTGGTTTCTGTAAATTTTAACCGAATTTGTATGTGAACTTGTATCATTGTCGAGGAAATTGCTGAGAAAAGCGAAGATATATTCCAACGCTGATTTCAGTAGCCGTTAAAGATTAGGAATGGATCACTAGTATCCGTACATGAGAACTGACGAAATGATGAGGAAGTGTTGAGGCACTTACTCGTGCTCATATAACAGTCTCTACTAGTGATGTATAGTGACCGGCATTCCTCACACTTTACTATTGTCCCGATGGTAGTATGATGAGAAAGTGTTGACGCGCTGAATCGTGCTCATATAACACTCGCCACTAGTGATGCATAATCACAGGCATTCTTGGCCAGGGAATCATTCAGAAACCTATAATGTTCCCGAGGGGAGCTCATTTTGAATTTTCCACGAATGGCTAGGAACACATTCTTCAATCAGTTTCCTATGTAAATGTCATTACATTAGAAACATTTTCCTCATTGTCATCAAACCCTGAGGAAAGCTATTTCTGAAAACTAGATGGGTTCCTGTTCCTCACATTTTACTATTGTCTGGATCGCAGAGTTGGTGACATGTTGAGAGAGTTTTGATGTACTGAATCGTGCTCATACGACAGCTTTTATGATATCTTCTAGGCGGAGCGAAGTTGCATTCGAAATCAACGTTTTTTGAAAATATTTTTTCAAGTTGGTTTTGCACTGTCGGTTGATATTGCTATGCTGATCATCAGGTTGTTATCGATACGCTCCCGAAGGTTGACATTCTGTTCGGCAATGAGATCGAAGCTAAGGCGTTGGCTAAGGCGCTGGAGTGGGGTAGGTTGGTTGGCCCTTTGGAACTCTAGTGTGCGTATGCACATGGGAAAAATTTGTATTAGTTTGTGTAAGTGATGAAAGCCGTAAAGCTTCTTATGAAGACTGAGCTACGTTCGTACGCAAACTCAATGAGCGGAGCGAAGTGATTTTCTTTCCATGAAATGGAACACTCCTTCTGCTCGAATTGGAATATATGTCCAATAAATAGTGAGGAAAGTTGTTGGGCTTGTTTAGAGATACAGATATGAGTATTCCAGAGATTGCTGCCTAGTTGTGTGACGCTCAGTCTTCCCCAACACTCCCAAATGACTAATGCGATGCGGTGAAACGTGCCTTGAATATACGTCCTATAATTAGTGAGGAAAGTTGTTGTGCTTGTTTAAAGATCCCGATATGAGTATTCCTGAGATTGCTGTGAAGTTGGCCGAATTACCAATGGTTGAAGGGAAGAAGGATCGGGGGAGGAAGGTGGTCATTACACAAGGACCTCTTGAGACGTATATTGCCAATACGGGTAGTAGTAGTAGTAGTAGTAGTAGTAGTAGTAGTAGTAGTAGTGGTAGTAGTATTAGTATCAATAGTAGTAGTAGTAGTAGTAGTAGTAGTAGTAGTGCGTATTTCTCATTGCGTATACTTTCAAGGACAGCGAATGTCTATTCCAAGACTGAACATCATTTATGTTGAAGTTTAAAGTATCTTTTGGGAAATTCATGTTGGTTTTTGTATACTTCTCTAGTAAACTCTTATAACTTCACTTTGAGAATTTCTGAGCTGAGCTGAGGATAGCGAACACATAATATTCCAACAATATTGAACCAACACTGAATATCATCAGTGGGAAAGATGAAGGTCTATTTTCCTGAAAAGAGTTTTTTGTTTCTTTTTCATATTTTCTGTAGTTTTCTATATTTTTTGTGTGATAGCTTTACTAAAGGTTTTGAGTAAAATCCTTCTCAGGTCGGCCCGTAGCCGCATATGATATCATCTCGATCGCCGACCACGATATTGTTGATACTAATGCTGCTGGTGACGCTTATGTGGGAGGTTTTTTAGCGGGAATTCTCAAAAATTGTGATGATCAGGTGAGAAAATTTTTTTATTTCTTTCGTTTTTTTATTTTTTATTTTCAGATGTGTGCGGCTGCGGGAGCATATGCGGCGTGGGAGGTGATTAAACAAAGCGGGTGTAAATTTCCGGAAAAAAGTGAATTTAAATTCAAGGTTGATTCTAGTACTACTATTTCTAACGGTAGCATCGATAGCATTAGGAGTTAGAATATTTTGGACATTGTTTTCCGAATCTGCTCAACGCGATTCGGGAGTAGACTTTTATGTGGTGGAAGTGTGGTATGATCGTTATCGGTAGACTTATTGTTTCCACGAGTATTGGTAGTTATTGAGTTTTAGTGTTGGAGGCATGCATGTTAGTTTATGATTGTTTACATGAGCACGGCATTCGAAAGCTTATATGATTCTAATAATATAGCGTTACTCGGATCTACTCTGTTCAGAGTGAGCCGAACAGACAGTACAATGAACAACGCGCAACCATCGAGCACACTGTGATCGATGACTGCGAGCCTAGCACCAGCTCAACAGTGAGCTGGTGGGAACTAGTAGTTTCACGTAAATCGGGTTAAACCCCAAAAGGCTATAGTGACGCTAAGCTGAGATACATAATGAGATGGTATACCAGAACACAAAAAGGGACAAGAAGACAGCACACACTGATGAATAGCTTCCACCTACACAGTGTAAGCTCTACAGTTTACAGTAGTGGTGGTAGGATGATCCACCCGACCACCACTTTACACAGAAAAGTGATATTTTTTAATATGCAGTGAATTGAAAATTCTGAGCGATTTTTATATAACTATCTGCTACTTTCTTCTTAAGAGCAGTACTCTTCACAGCAGACAGCATAGGAGTATGGCTGTGAACTCAGCAGCTCCGAAATGAGCGCCCAAGACCTAGTATATGTAGGGAAACAAATTCACATGTATAGTATATGTAGGGAAACAGATTCACATGTATAGTATATGTAGGGAAACAAATTCACATGTATAGTATATGTAGGGAAACAAATTCACATGTATAGTATATGTAGGGAAACAAATTCACATGTATAGTATATGTAGGGAAACAAATTCACATGTATAGTATATGTAGGGAAACAAATTCACATGTATAGTATATGTAGGGAAACAAATTCACATGTATAGTATATGTATGGAAACAAATTCACATGTATAGTATATGTAGGGAAACAAATTCACATGTATAGTATATGTAGGGAAACAGATTCACATGTATAGTATATGTACGGAAAGGAATTCACATGTATAGTATATGTATAGATTTGGTTGAAAACGCGCCAGAAGTATTGAGATTGTGAAGAAAAAAATTTATTTTACTCTTATTCGTATGTAAACAATTGAGGAAGATTTTGAGCTCTCGAACATACATACCTCTTACCAAACTGCTGTAGTATTCATTTAAATATGGCGAATGTAATAGAAGGCGAAAGTGTGACTGACCGACCAGCCTTACCTACAGAGATGGAAGCATTTTATTATACTGGCTTTGGTGGTCCGGAAGTTTGCCAGGTGATATGGGAATGTAATTGTGTTATAATGAGTGACAATAATAATAATATAAGTGTGTTATTGTGTATAATTGTTACTTATTGTGGGTTACCCACAATAACACCAATACCACAATTGGGTTACCACCAATGCGAGAATAGTTATGTTGGCAAGATGGTAGGGTTTATAGAGTTGTAATATGATTTTAGTGGTTACCGGAATACCGAAATCATAGACTATAGTAGTGAATTAGATATATATGAATTTAGTTCGGGTCATAAATAGTAGTTTATGTTTAATAGTGTATTGGAGTTTTACTCGTGATATGAAAAACACTAGTGGAAAACATATTTCATGACTACTGAATAGCGCGAAATTTCGGGTTTTTTTACGGAGTATTACGCCAATTCACGTAAAACGGGTGAAACTTTATTGTATATCTTTCAGAAATTCGAAGCCCGAAATTGATATCATCATCCGTTGAATTGGAAAAGACAGCCACGAAATAGATTTTTGAGAGAATTCGCGAAAGTGAAATTCTAATATGACATCCAATTTGTATATATGATTCTAAGGATAGTGTAGGGCGTGAGTTGACTGAATGACGGTATTGCAGGTGGGAAAGCTCCCTCTCCCGGGTCCGCCGGGTCCGCGTCAGCTTCTGGTAAGGCGTGCATGATTTGGCGGAAATGTGGTATGGATTTTCCACAGGTCAAAGTTCACTATGCGTCTTTGAATCCGGCTGATTATCAACAGCGAAATGGAGAAACTAAGCATCTGCTTAAGCATAAGTTCCCGAAGGTACTAGGCCTATCTTTGTGGGGTATTTTTCGCGCGCCTGGAAATTCATCTATGAACTTGGCAGTGTGAAGCATCCGAAGTGATATTTTTAACACCTTCAATTTTTGAAAGTGAACATGATAACTATGTGAATCGATTGTCACCAACGTTTTAGAAGCGTTCCGTAGTCTATAGTCGTACTAGTCTCAAATTGAAGAAAGCCATCTCGAAAATCTAGATATGCATACCTGTTTGGTTCGCACTGTATAACCTGATTCGGTAGTGAAAATAAATTTTTGGGGTGACATGTTTTTCGTCGGAGATAAATTAAATCGGAAAAAGTTGTGAAATTTTTTTGGGGAAATTTTACTGCGATTTTGGAATTCAGAATGGATTGGGTGGAGGTCAATTCGGAAAATATTTTTATTCAGAATTTTCGATTTTTAATGCGCCCGAATGAGCGGAGCGAAGTAGTAGTTTTTTGTTCGAATAGGTATTCGGATTTGATTTTTCTGGAGATGTTATGGAGATTGGCAACGAAGTTAAAGACTTCAAAATCGGCGAGGAAGTGAGTGGTGGTGTCGTTAGCGCTCGCCCGATTGATCGATTTGTTATTATGGTAGGTTTTTGGTATGGTTGCTGGTGTTAGAACAGGAAGTGCTGCTGAATATGTGAGTTGAGGAAATGTAAGGATGGATAAGATTGCAAGATTTGTAAGTAGGTTATAGTAGATGATTATGTATGTGCATTGAAACCAGCGGACATTCCTCATCACTTGGCTGCAGCGGTGCCTTTGGTCGGAATTACGGCGGAAAAGGCGTTGAAGAAATGCAAAATTAGTGACATGCATCGGGTAGTGGTCAGGTCGGTGTTGTTGCTTTATTGAAGTATAACAAATTGATCTTTTAGGGCGTGCATACAGCCCTTAGTTTAGCCCTGAGTTGGTTGGCGAGAAGCATCGGATAGTGCTTGATTGTGGTATAAGAAATTCGATGGGGGTAAAGATTGGTATTTTTGAGAGGTTCACAATCCTGGCTTTACGGAGCGGGTTTTGCTAGCTGGTTTTTTAGAGCGGTATAGGAGGGAGAGTTCGAAGTTAGGATTTCGGTGTTGATGGTTCTACTGGTCGGGTTTATAATTTATGTATGTTTGAAGTTGGACAATTATATTTATTTAATTATTTATATTTGAGTTTGGGGCTGGTTTTGAATTCTCTGTAGTAGCTCAAGTGCTGACTGAATTGTGTATTTGTGTACTTATAGGAGAGGCACATGGATGCCCTTGTTAGAATTGAAGGATAGTTGAAGGAGTTACGGTATGACTGTAGGTATTGGTTACAGGAGGGTCTGGTGGAGTAGGGTCTATAGCCGTACAATTGTGCAAGGCGGAGTTCGGCATTGAATGGGTGGCGACGACTAGCAGTGAGGAGAGTCGAGGATTAGTGGAAAGCTTTGGAGCAGATGAGGTTGGTGGAGTGTTGGGACAATATACGCTGATTCAAATTCGATCTGATGGAATTTGTATTCAAAATAATGTAGTTTGTTGTAGTAGTAGTAGTAGTAGTAGTAGTAGTAGTAGTAGCGCATGGCGCTCTGTTTTCACTCTGAATTCTATTACAGTGATAGGAGTATACCCGGGCTCAGCCGCTCATTTCGGAGCTTTCGGTCACTTTTCTGACACTTGTGTTTTGTGTGTGTTTTTGAAATGATAATTGACTTATCGAACTCTCTGCCGGGTAACACACTATCTACCGGCTCATACCAAGGCTCAGACAGCAGTGACTGAGCCTGCAGCTATACCTCTATACTGGCTATTACTCGCCTGGTCGGAGGGGTGAGTAGTATCAGTATCAAGTTTGGTTAGTAACAGTGATTACTATTGATTATCAGTAATAATAGAATTATTATTGGTTAGTGAACAGTAATAAGCTTTAGTAACACATCCTGATTCTTTGTCGTTTAACATACTGTTTACCGGTTCACACCCGGGCTCAGGCAGCAGTGACTGAGCCTGTATTAGCTATTACTCGCCGCCTGGTCGAAGGGGTGCTGCGTAAAAAGAAGAAGATTATGCTTGGTTTTTTACCGTAAAGAATTATCAATGGTTGGAAAGCTAGGATTCGTATTCAGAGTGGTATAAGAATGTATTTACCCGAATTTTCTGTCCGTGCTTTTTTAGGGAAGTTTTATATACGACTATGATCACTATGAACTTTTGACATTTGAGAATATTCTGAAAATTTCGGATGAGCTCAGATGAGGAAAGCGAACGTATATTATGATACAGAGCAAGCCGATTAATAAACTGAGAAAATATTGGAGTTTCACGAACCGTGATACGAAAAACATATTTCACGACTACTGCATATCACCGCGAATATCATCGCGTTTTTCACCGAGTTTTACGCCACTTTACTTTGTAAAACGGATTTTGAAACTCCATTGTAACTCTATTGTTCGATTTTTCAGGTATTTGATTACAAGTGCAACAATAGGCGTTGGGCTGAGCAATTCGACTATGGCACGTGGCGGCATGTTTATGACGTGGTATTTGATACTCAAGGAGATTCCAAGCAGGCTGTGCTTTTACTGGGAGGTGATGATAATGTCATTTGGTAGAGTTACTTGACAATAGACTCAAAAACACGTGAGAAAATGCGTCTCGAAGTCCTAGGGCACAGCGGAGCGAAGTGTTTCACGATGTGCATTTTAGTGTGTTTGCTCCTCCCCCCCCACACACAGTGGTTTCAGATAGTACGGATGGGCAGGGCCCACCGGATGGTGGAGGGATGGTATCAATTGTGGACGGCCCGAGCGCAGAGGCAGCATTGGAGTGGTTGAGTGAATCACACAGTGAGGTGAGTAGCGTTGAGGAAATGCAAGATTGCAAGATTTGCAAGATTTGGGACTGGTTTGATTCAGCCAAAGCATTCGTATATAAAATCGTTTTTGGAGAACTTCCCGTGGGTTTGGGATACGGCGACTGGAGTGCGGTCGTTGCGGAAAAAGGCGAAGGGGAAGTAAGTAGCGCTCGCCCTGTTGATCGATTTGGTATGAAGGTACTGGACTGTGATTGGGACGGGTGATGGTGACGCGTGCCGAAGATTTGCAACGATGTTGGAGTCGAAAAGCATCATCCCGCATATTGATGGCGTGTAGGTTTAGGAAAGAGAGGGTTTTCGCAAAATGGCGGTGGTAAATCTCGCTCGCCCTGCACAATGTTTGGGCATATGTAGACTTTCCGGGATTGTTAGATATCCTTTGAGTAAAGCGAGAGATGCTCTTGCGAGAGTTGAGAGTGGACGGAGCAAGGGGAAGGTTCTGATTGAAGTAAGATTCGATGGAGGTGTGGTATGAGAAAATGGAGTATCTGTTATTTGATTTTATTGTCATTTGTGGTTACATTGGAGAGAAGGATTATATGGGACAACGTTCAGGAGTGTTGGAGGAATATATGTGTGGTTCTCTCCTGAGCTGGGGTGATCATGGGAGTTTAGATATGACTTGTGGTAGAAATGTACAAATAGAATTTTCCAAAATTCGAGGTAAACTCGTTGGGCCAGTTTACGCGGCGACGGTCTCCGGCGTGTGTCTACACGACACCTAGCGCTATTTATCAGTGATTCAAAGCTCTTCCAGGATGTTGGGTTTCATCCCACCTTCGCCTCTGTTATTTGTCGTCCGTTTTTTCTAACCTCCCGCCCACCCTAGCGATGTGGTGCGGCACCTCACGTTCCGTGTGAGGTTGGCCCCATCACATTGGCCGAGGATCACACGTGTTTAGTGTCATCCTCCGGCCCACGACCTAACGCCGGGGAGGAAGGGAGCCGGGTGATTTCCCAGGATTTTTTAAAACACGTGTAGTTGATATAAGCATAATTTTCGTTCTGTGAGTCACAGACTGTGACTATTGGAGTTTCACCCATGATATTGGAAGCATTAGTGAAAAATATAGCTTACAATTTTCTCGGGTTATTACGCCATTTACATAAGACGCGTTAAACTCCATACCATTGTATTTTTTCTATAAAGGTAATCGCGGATCCCAAGGCCACATTCGTGGAGACTGACGACTCTATGGAGGCAGTTGAGGGCTCGAGTGAGCCCCTTCCGAGCTCTCCAGCAGAGGAGGGGGTGGAGGAGGCTAAAGAAGGGGCTTTGGAGGCTGAGAAGGCTGTGGCGGAGTCCCAGGTGGAAGTGATGACCGTCGCGAAGGAAAGAATGTGAGGGGGTTTATATAGTCAATATTGAAATCCTGAGTTTCTTGATAGTTGATATGCTTTGGTTGGGGTGGAAATGGGATGGGGTTTTGTTTGTTAATTAGTATTAGTAATCAAGTATTGGAGTTCCACGGACGGCCGTGATATGTAAACACATTTTACGACGACTGCATATCACGGCGAATATCGCATTTTTTACATGGAGTATTACGCCACTTCACGTGAAACGGGTTGTTGTTGTGGAACTCCAGTGTTATTTTAATGGTGTTTTAGCTGGAGGCGGTGGATCGAACAGATGAGCTGATATCAATATTGGAATTCTGAGTTTCTTTATATTAGTGTGAGTGTGTTTTGGTTTGGGAAAAGGCATGAGTTTTTGTTAGTATCGTTGTTATTTCAATGGTGCTTGAGCGGAGGAAAGCAGTTTATATAGGATCATCTGATGTTAGTATTGAACTTCTGAGCTCCTCTGAAGTAGTGTGAATGTGTTGTGGTTAGGGGGCAGGACTGAGGTCTTACTGTGATTATTGTTATTTCGATGGCGCTCTAGGTAAGAGCGGTGGATCTGAGAGTTGCGCTGATGGCCATATTAACAACAAATAGACAAGTTTACGGTTGTGAAACTGAAATTGAGCGTGTCAATGCCAATCAATATAATGGCTCAGGGAAAACACCGTAAACTGCAGGGCACGCACGAACAAGGCAAGACTGGGCTCGTCAAGAAGTTTTGAGTTCCTCTAAAGTAGTGTGAATGTGTTGTGGTAAGGTGTGAGCTGAGGCGGTGGATTTGAGAGGTAAATTTGGCATTGCGCTGATGTTAGTAGTGGAGTATTGATTTTCTTGATAGTAGTATTGTAGCTGTGTTGTGGTAAGAAGGGAAGAGATGGGGCTTTGGTAGTATTATTGTTACTTGAATGGTGTTCATCTCGAGGCTGTTGTTTGTGGGAGTTTTGGTGGAAATGGGCAGGTGAGTGGAAAACCGTTTCTTGAGGGGAATGAACTCGGGTCTTTTGGAGGAGAGTAAATGCTTGGACCGCGTACTACTAGACTAAATTGGCATTTAGGTTGGCAGTTGCGGGTAGTACACCGCAGAGTATGTACAGTAAGTATTTGGAGAGGATGGAGAAAGTTAAGAGAGCACATGATAACAGTCTTGAGTGAGTCTACGGCCACTTGATAGGAATATTTCGGGGTGATCGATTTTGCTTCGTTTCTTCTCGTTGCCATGTTGCCACAGGGTTGTAAGAGACGATATATGCTTTTGTTATTCTGGCGTCGAATTCGATTGAATCAACATATATAACGGCTTTTCTTCCGAGCAAAATCATTATATATTCGTTCTTCCTGGGTGGAAAAAATATTTTTTTGATGGGTATAATAGAAATTTTCGGGGAATTTTTTTTGGAAATTTTCTCCAGATGTGATCATTATGGGCAATTGGAGAGGATGCACTTCTTCAGACTCGCTAGAGCTTCCAAAGAGCATGTTGAAAACGTAATAGTAATTCCTTTCAGGACATTGCAAAGAAGGAGTGCTCATCGTGTGGGCTCTCACTACGCGATGCAAGTTGTGGCGTGTTCTGGTATCAACTGTGATAAATTCGATAGGGATGAGTGGCGAGGCGATTTCAGAGGCAAAATCAACCAGGACTATAAGTAAGCCTTGGACGATTTTCACCGACTGCTTTGTGAAAGGAATCGATTGGTAGAGTATCGCACATATTATAATGTAGTTTCATCCGTGATACGAAACACACTAGTGCGAAAATAATATTTCACGACTACTTCATATCGCGAATATCGGGTTTTCACCGAGTATTACGCCCCTTCACGTAAAACGGGTGAAACTCCAAAATAATATGTAATACCATAATAACATATAACATAATATTAACAGTTATATCATCAGTAGTAATCATTCGAGGAAACCATGATGATGGTCAATAGCTGTATAAGACCTAAATATCTGCTCTTACAAAGTGAGATTTTTTTCGGGGGGATGAATTTTCCCTTATCAATTTACTTCTAATTTTGTGAGGCTTGTCGAGCTGAGAATTTTCCGATGAAAATCTGGGGAATTTTCACGTATTTTTCCCACTGATTTCCATCTCGTCGTCTGCAGATTGTCTTTCACCAAGGGGGGTATGTGTTGTCGCACAGAGTCTTTCACTTTCCAAAACGACGCGTTTGTGCGGACCGACTGCGCTCAATGTGAGCGCGGTGGCACTGGTCCCAGCGACATGACGGAATTCAAAGCACAAGAAGGCACGAAGAAATACATGTATGAAAGCTCGAAAACTTACGATCTCGCTGGTGCATACAGCAAGTCAATTGTGAAGAACACGATTTGGTCGTCGGAGGCTATGAATTAGGCAACTGCTGGCGTGGGCTCGGGAGCCCGCCTAAGTTAATAATCGCTGTTGGTGTTCATGTTGGTGTCACCACTAGTCTGTTGCGCAATTTCAATGGGATGGTTAAAATGACAGGCTCTCTTGGTTGAATAGATATGAGACTCTTCCGTGTCTCACTTTGTATCTTTCTCGCGAGGCGCAACGTTGATGCCGTCCCTGCAACGTATACTGGATTTGGCGGTCTCAATGGTGAAGTGAGGTTCACCGTTGATTACGAAAATGACTCGGATTCTAATCTAGAGCTCCAATATGAATGCGATGGGAAGGGGGGGTATTTCAAACTACATACGTTTGTAGAAGTTTTTAAAACACCTCTGGAGGGCAAGAAGCAGGACGCGAACTCAGTGCTCGCCGTTGATAAGAACAACAAAGCTCATGGAGCTCAACAACTTCGTCACACAACAAAGCTGTATGGAAAGAGCCGGGGCATGTCCGTCGGCCATCTTGGGGGGAATCTCAGACCGAACACGGCATCAACGTCAGTAGATGGAATGGGTACGGTCGAGCCCTATGCTAGTGAAGCCGGTGGGAGTACTGATTCACTTCCCAACGCTGAAGATGGCCAATCAAGTATTTATGACCGGAGACCTTCTGACGGCGAGAATGACCAACAGAGCGATGAAGAGTTAGATACAGTGCCCAGCTTCATACTCCCTCGTAGTATTTCTGAAGACGAAATTAGGACGAAGTTTGCCGAAGCGTGCGGAGAGAAATTCGGGGAGTTTGATGACGAGGCACAGCTTCTGGGGGCCGAAGAAATAACGGATAGTCTGTTTTTCATGACCTTCCTCGGTAGAAGTGTTTCCCTCGCAAGAGGTGAGTTGGTGGATCGATTTTGGCCACTTTCTTCGTACAGAACACTGACGTGGCTCTTTCATTGAGAGAATCTAGGGGGAAGCCCGCGTCATTGCGAGTTCCGCATGCTATCATAGAAGAAACAAGTCCGAAGCGTTTGAGGTCCCTATCCTGCAGCATCAATTTTCTATATTCAAAAGTAGAGCTAGTTGAGGTATATGGTATTTGCAAGAACAGGCTTATCGCGCTGCAGCTGTCTGCACATTCCTCGCAAAAACTTTATTTATTTTTCGACGAATTGCCTGGTCGCATTTTGATGGTGAAAATTATCTGTGGTATCATTTGATGATCATAGCGACATACCGTTGCCGTGTGTCAGGTCAAGCACCGCTCCCAGTAGGGGATTTTCATCTGGAAGGGAATGAAAATGTCACATTCCGAAGCATGGACGGGGCGAATATAGCAATGAAGGTCGAAGGCGAGGGCAGTAGAGAAATTGTAGTCCCACTAAGACCGGAAAGTAACAATAACAAGAATGATCGGCTTGTTAATGTCATGGCAAAAGATGTTGCTGTGAGGACGTCATCTATCTTCTCCGAAACTTGGTGGTCTTTTCTGGGGAATTATGGGAGACTTTTGAATGGAAGAAAACCCTTAGATGGACAGAGCTTCCTGAAATTCTTTTGGAACGAGGAAGATGGGACGTGGTCTACGATGGTTGATGGAGAAGAAAAACGCTTGATCAAGATCCCTTTTAAATTGTCAGAATCGCGTGGCAGGTAGAGTGAATCAAGTTGGGGATCACCTACAGTTATGCCCCGGATGAATAATCAGATCTACAGAAAGAGAAGAAGAATAATCATTCTCGATGTACAACAAGGTGTTAAGCATTCTTGAGCTTTGTCTATATTGTGTCGAGATGCATGTTCGATCATAATCATGTTGATGTTGATGGTGTTGTCACTGTCGTCTGCTGGTTGCACGTTATCATTTTTATGGGTCTTGGATTCGTTACTGGAGGTGGAGGACCTCCACTGGAGGTTTCTTCGGCGAGTGCTGGCGGCCCCTAAATAGATCTCTGAATGGTATAGTCCATAGCGGGGGGCATAGCGGCCCCTCCCCTATTCGGCCGCCCTAAATAGATCTCTGAATGGTATAGTCCATAGCGGGGGGCATAGCGGCCCCTCCCCTATTCGGCCGCCCTAAATAGATCTCTGAATGGTATAGTCCATAGCGGGTGGCATAGCGGCCCCTCCCCTATTCGGCCGCCCTAAATAGATCTCTGAATGGTATAGTCCATAGCGGGGGGCATAGCGGCCCCTCCCCTATTCGGCCGCCCTAAATAGATCTCTGAATGGTATAGTCCATAGCGGGGGGCATAGCGGCCCCTCCCCTATTCGGCCGCCCTAAATAGATCTCTGAATGGTATAGTCCATAGCGGGGGGCATAGCGGCCCCTCCCCTATTCGGCCGCCCTAAATAGATCTCTGAATGGTATAGTCCATAGCGGGGGGCATAGCGGCCCCTCCCCTATTCGGCCGCCCTAAATAGATCTCTGAATGGTATAGTCCATAGCGGGGGGCATAGCGGCCCCTCCCCTATTCGGCCGCCCTAAATAGATCTCTGAATGGTATAGTCCATAGCGGGGGGCATAGCGGCCCCTCCCCTATTCGGCCGCCCTAAATAGATCTCTGAATGGTATAGTCCATAGCGGGGGGCATAGCGGCCCCTCCCCTATTCGGCCGCCCTAAATAGATCTCTGAATGGTATAGTCCATAGCGGGGGGCATAGCGGCCCCTCCCCTAT